ATTATTAGATGTCTTTTTTTAAATCAACGCGGTAATTATAGTAATTAATAAAAATCAAAAAAATCTTGTTAACACAAGTCATTAGTGTATTTTTCTATTAATATTAATATTAATTTTCTATTAATGTTAATATTAATTGCTATCAAGAGGCACGACAATGCTTCGTGCCAAGTTTATCCGCAATGAAGTCGCGCGCGAATGGTACGAGCATTCCGTGTCTCTATTGCGCGAAACTGACATTTGGGAAAACACGAAATATTCATATTTCAGTAATGACTGATTGTGAACCCGGTCGATTTCTTTTTAGACTCAATCGATTCGAGTTGCAAAGATCTTCATATCAGGCGAATATGTCTTATTATAATTGCTTCAAGTTAGACTTTTATTACATACTTTTTTCACGAAGTTGATGCTTTATGTGTGCTTAAATGTTTTTTGAGCAAACATCGAGCGACTTAACGGTCAATCTAATTGACTGATATCAGATTTTATTTTTCACTGACAATGAGTGCAAAGTTTATCTTTATGTTTCGGGTTATTATCCTCCAGTTTTGATTTTTTCCCCAATATTCTACAGATAATAAACCTTTTTCAACATTTTTTTGGCATTTAAATTGTTTCTAAACAAGTGTAACGTACCATGCAAATGATGGTTAGAGAAAGAAGTCCCAAACATGCGCTTTTACTATGTGTTTAACAGTTCACTGTAGAAACTTATTGTTGGGAATAGACATGCAGGCTCGTGATGAAACTACGTGTTCAAAAGGAAAGCTTTGTCAGTAAAAATTGCTTTGTGTGCTCCAATCACAATCGATAGTTTCATGTGCCCAAGTGAATCGTTTTTTTCATTTGTTTTTTCGACAGGTTTCTTCATTGTGCTCTGCCATTTCACATTATGAGCAAGACGGCTTTGAATAGTTTCATACAAAATATCTGAGCCTTTTTCTTTCAATTTCGTTTGTTCTCGATAATATATTAGTTGAGAATGTTTCAAAAACGAATCTAAAATCTATTCTTTTATTGTCTCTTTTTATTGTTGTTCACGCCACGTTCGGATAAATTATAGCCTATTTTTCATCTTTTCATGCCGCATGAATCAACTTATTTACAAATGATTTTCCTATATACTTAACAGCAGCTATTTGTAATATTTTTGACCTCTTTGGATGCTTACAGAAGAACACATTGAAATATGATGCGTACAATGCACCCATATATATATATGACAAAATATATTGTTACCTGCCAAAAGTTCCACAACGAAAACTTTCTCCATAATGTATTGTAAAGAAGAATACCTTTTATTGGTTTCTACAAAAATTTTAGGTCTATCTTTTACGCATTGAAAGTTGTGCCGATCAGGCTCTTGTTTGATAGAATGTATAATTTATGTTTAATTTTTATTAGAAAACGTTGAGGTTTTAATTTTATTATATTGTTGTTGAGTAAAGCATTTTTTCATATAAGTATCACGCGAATTATTATAAATAAAAGATAAGAACTTTAATAAAAATTTGAATACACCTAAACTTCTATTAGCTGTTAAAGCTGTTAAAATAATATATAATTGTTAAATAATAAAAATCTTATTAAATAATATTAAATAACATTAAATAATATTAAATAATCTTATGAGACAATTATTTTCATCTCACCTTACCTCTCAGAGTAGTCTAACATGTCCCACAGATGGAATACATTGATTTTTTTATTCAACATACATCACTTTGACTTTTTTTTTTATTCAACATACATTTTTATCTATGTACGTAATATTTTAAGTATCTATGAGTGCTTACTTCTTGAGTTCGGTAAATATATTATCTTTTAAAACAATTCTCATTAATTAATCATAATTGTGTGAAGATTTATAATAGTGTGAGTAAAAAAGTTGTCCAATTAACCTCGCTCTTATATACGCACAATGAGTCTACTCCACGTTTCCGGAAAAAAACTTTTTGAAATTCAATTGTCACGAAGTGATTCGCGCGATTGAATACGCAATAATAGTCCTTTATTATTTTTTTTGCCGGAGAAAGCGTGATAATTAGTGAACGGATAAAGCGCTGCAAAAGTTGATATTATAACAGTACGCTATTAAGAGATAATAAATTACGATGCGTTCGGAGTCGTAAATCAATCGAGTTTGATCTATTGAATACTTAATATATCTGTGACATGTTCCTTTTCATCGCGTGAAGTGAAAAATTTTCATCCAAAGCGCTTGCCATTGTTACCTTTGGCACGAAAAGTTTTTCGATGATAAAACATGCCCGGCTTTTCATTTACATGGTTAGAGTGAGTTATAGCTTCTCATACGTCATTTTGCACGCACAATACGTTCTCGTTTTCCATTCGCTACACCTATCCTCATTCCGATAATTTCGAACGATCGATGCGACGTATACTTGCACGTCTGTGATTACGTGTGTATGTTTGATAGATATTAATATGCCCACGTAATAGTATGTTCTAAAATAAATATCTCATTACAATGTTTTAAAGGAAAAAAATTCTAGAAAAAAATTGCAGTTTTCAAAGGTATTTCGCCAAGTCATTGGACTCGAAAAAAAAAACGGAACTTCTTGTTAAATTTGAAGTAAAATAAGATCGACAGGTTCTCCGGCAGTAATTAAGAGTTCGCAATTTTCCTGGTTTCATTAAAATACAAAATAAACTAATTTCACTATGTAAATTCGAAGAAGATCGTAATTGTGTAACTAAGTTAAATTCAATTTATCTCGTGGAAATTGATTAAATTATAAGTAGGAAAGAACGTTATATCCGCGTGTAATGCATATTGTAATATATTCACATTACAAGTCATGTTTTTATATATATACATATATACATATATATATATATATATATATATATATATATATTTTAAATAAAAGATGCACTTGAGGATACTTGTGCTGAATAAAAATTAAATTGATGCGAGATAAGCGTGGCCGAGATAAATAACAAGTACGAGAGAGAAAGAGAAAGAGAGAGAAAGAATGAAAGAATAAAATCGTCTTATTAATTCGCACAACATACAATTGCTTTTAAAAAGAATTTACATTAGCAATTTAATACCGGATCGTTATTCTTCTGGTAATCTAAAGACAGTTTGCCAAATTGGCGAGGATTGACTGTAAGAGTGTTTTGTTTATCGTTAATTAATAATACTCTTCAATCAATTAACTGATTCGATAGCAAAAGAATAAGGATTTAATTTTCTTTCGTGTAAAAAATGTTTTGCGCACACTTATATAGCGTTATACAAAGTATATTTCACGTGAGATAAATTAATGCAATTAAAAACACGATATATCGCTTTCATGCAGCCTTTAACTTCTGCTAAATCTGATTTTCAACTTTCATGCCTTTATAACGATTCACGTACTGCAAGCAAAAGTTCTCAATCTTACGATCTAGAACTAGATTTTCTCATATTTTTATTGGTCGTATTTCTAGCATACTATTTGAACGACAACACACACCTTTTTTGCCTTTAACACGGCACTCGACGTCAGCGCTTTTAAACTCGAAAGAAGATAACAAAAAAAATAAAAATAAAATTTCTATTTGCGCTTGTGCAACATTAAACGTTTGAAATTATTAAATGGTTAAAAAACGTAAATGTAGTTAATATACTTTGATACGAATTTCAACGTTTTTTGTTACATCACATATCAATTTTTGAGAAATAATTTCAAGCTAAAATATATTTTCGCCAATAAATCCCATATTTGCTCAAAATATGCAAAGATTATCGGAAAAGATGGAGATAGAGAGAAAGAGAGAGAGAGAGAGACAGAGAGAGAGAGAAGCGCGTAAATTAAAAACATTACTACACTAATCTGCGTGGAACATCGGAATAACTAGGGATGTGTAATATTCTGAGCAAAATTGTATGTTGCACGAGAAATGCACACGTGCGGTCTAATTTGCACTGGAAATATGTGGATACGTAGCACTTCAGTGAGCCATGCGTGTCTATAATGTCAAAGATATTGCTAGAGAATATTTCGTAAAAAAAAAAAAAAAAAGAAGAAAGAATGAAAAGAAAGCGCATTGTGCTCTAGGCAACTACAGAAAGCACAAACGAAGCTCATTGGGACCATTTTCCTAAGAGATATTCATAATGTCATCTTCGTGAAAGTGAAACCTCTTGCCGCAAGGGAGACTACGAGTTTCGAATTCTCGCAACTTGTATCGTCTTTGTGAGTATTTCCTAGGTACTGGAAATATTCTTGTTAGACAAACCTTCCGGGCGCCCACACAATACACACACACAAGTATGTTTGGAACAAACTTTTGCTTTCTACTAACGTCGTATTTTGTATAACAAACGAGCGTGCGAAATATTTTCAAACAATTGAGAATAAATATACTGCATTCATTTTCGTTCTATAGAATTGATCCGTTTTCGTGTAACGTATAATTCCGCTATAAATTTGTATTTACAATACGGAAAAACCGAGCGGGCGCGTTAATACGATTCGTTTGATAATTTATTAAAGGCGCGTTTACAAATAAGTTTTTTGTTGTTACTAATACAAATTTTATCGGCAAATAAACGATGTTTATCTTATCCACGAATTATTTGAAACTCGTATCGTCGCGGAAAATCGGAACGAAATCTCGCTATAGATCTACAAAAATATCTTCTGGTTAAAAAAACCACAAAAGATAAAAATATCGGAATACATTCAATTTGTCAAATTTATTCAATAGAGCTTAGGGTGTTATTATTTGAAACAAAACTTTTTATCTACTTATATATTTTGCTAATTATTAAGTTTGGAGATAATGTGCATCTCTCGGTAACAAAATAAGCCACTTTGCAAAATTATTAATACATATTGCTGATTAGCATAAGTTTGCGAGCGCGCGGGAATTATCGTAAATATACAGTTATGGACAGGCCTTACGTTAAAGTTGCTATTGCTGTTGCAGAAATCCGACGTGCTAGTGTTTCCACCACAATAAGAGACTTGAAAGCAGGCAAGATGAATGTTACCACGAGGCCGAGGTATCACGTAGTAACGATCGTTTATCCGCCATTCGTCATGTACAACAGCAGCAGCCGTATTTTTTACGGCTACTGCATCGATCTTCTGAACGCGATGGCACGAATCTCGGAATTTGATTATAGCATAAGAGAATCTAGCGGCGATAAGGACGCCGGCCATGTGACCGAGGCAAACAAATGGACCGGTATGATGAGAGACTTGACGAACTATACGGCGGACTTCGCCGTAGCTCCGTTGTGGATGACGTATTCTCGGCGACAGGTGTGACACTCGTGTCAATCTATACGTAAAATGTCGAACGGAGAAATTCGAGAGACATTTATTAACGATGATTTACGAGAAAAGTCCCATTCACAAAGAGAACTGGATTTTAACGAACATTCATTTGTCACAATTTCGCGTCGCTCTGATTAACGTGGTGATGTTGTTTGTTTATTGTTTATTTCGTTTGTAGTTTTATAATCTTCGGTTGGCACGGCTGTTATCATGTTAATCAGCGACTCGAAAATCGATAGAAATAAATTTTCATAAAAATCCAGCGCTTGCGATTGAAGAGCACTTTTTTCGTTCGCGTCTGTATTTTTATCAGACATTATTAATTATTTTTCACAAGCGTTCTTTTTTCTCGCGACAGGCAATAGACTACACTATTCCGTTCTACAAGAACAACGGCATCGCGATCATGATGCAAAAGCCCAAAGATACCATCGCGTTTTGGTTTTTTCTCACGATTCTCGATTACGAGGTCTGGCTGAACTTCGCGGTTGCGTTTCTCGTCACATCGATCCTGATGTACGTATTCGGGCGTTATTCGCCCCTCAGACGCAAAAACGCGGCCGAGAACCACAAGCCGGATTCGCGTTTTACGAGTCTGAGAGATTGTTTTTGGTTCTGTCTGACATCGATCACTCCGCACAACTGCGGTCCGTTACCCGAGAATCCGTCCGGTAAATTAGTGGCCGCCGTCTGGTGGTTGTTTGTGTTTGTCATTGCGGCAGTGTACAATGCGAATCTTGGCGCAAATCTGACGCTGTATCAGTTGGAACGGCGTATCGAGACGATCGACGATCTCAGGAGACAGTATCAGGTCGAATACTCGACCGTCGTCAACTCGCCCACCTACAAATACTTCGAGAGTTTGAAGACCAACGAAGAATTTTTGTCCGAGTAAGCGAGCGAGACGCGATTGATTGCGCGCAATGCAACAAGAATTTTGAGTGCAACAATAGTTATGTAATATTTACGCGTAACAAATAGTCAATCAAGATGTGAAATCGCACTTGATTCATATTTATATATATATATATATATAAAAAAAAAAAGATATACAATTATAAAGGCGCGACTCGTTACATACGGCATTTTGTACGTTTAGCGATGTAATAATTAATAATTAGTAATTGGAATATATATATATATGTATTCTGATGAAAATAATGGTAATTATTTTATATCGAAACAATGCAAAATTCGTACGGTTGATTAAGTCACTCCCGGTGCTCGAATTAATTTAAAATAAAACAAGATATATGCATGGCTCATTTCGTTTTAATATATTATTCGGTATTCATTAATATATTTGTTTTTACGAACACTGTTTAAAAGCGAACGTGTTGATTCTGTATAAATTCAAAGAGAGAAGAATGATACAATCAATGAGATCTCTCGTTGAAAATCAACTCAAATTAAGTCAGAAGCGAGCACCGATATTTGGAATTCAATATGTAAGCTTCGCTTAATATTGATATATTAAATGTAAGTCTTTTTGGTCGTTAAAAGCAATTACAGTTAGCCGACAGTAGTTTGCATCTTCCGCACGCGCGAGCGAGCGCGATTAAAACTTTGCCTATAACAAAGTCATCAGCGTTTAATAGCTGAATAGATCGTCTTACAAGATCTTTTAATCGTTCTTATTTTACAAAAAGCATTCTGACTCTCTTAACTCGCGCGCAACAAGGCGATCTCAGATGTAAAAAACAGAAATTATCAGTAATCATTAGTTTAACAGCTAAATAATCGTGACAATAAACGTTCGCAGTCTGTGGAAGCAAATGAGTCTGAACAAAAGCTTATCGGAGTACGAAAAGACGAAGCTAGCTGTCTGGGAGTATCCGGTCGAGGAGAAGTACACGAAGATTTACAACGCGATGAAGAATACAGGCTTTTTCGCCGATCTGCAGGAGGCCGTAAACAGCGTGCGAGAAATAAATCGCACTCGGCAATTCGCTTATGTGGGCGAAGCGATGCGGATTCGATATCTCGTAATGACGAATTGCGATTTGAGGCAAGTGGGCGAGGAATTCGGCAAGATGCCCTTTGCGTTCGCCGTTAAAAAAGGATCGCCGTTAAAGAGCATGCTCGACGATGCGTACGTCACATTTTCAAGCTTAAGTATAATTATATCCTGATTAGAACATCATCATATATGTACCGTAAACTGAGGTGACTTTATGTCGCGTGGGCAGGGCAGTGCAAATGAGAGGGACGTAACGACGGAACGTGTACTGGAATACGCGCTGATTGGAAGGGCTCTCGATCGATCGCGAAATTTATTTCTCGCTAATTTATTTCTTTAACACATAGAACAAAGCTGTATGTAGGTTTGTTTTTAGTCTCAGAGAAATAACAGTAAAATGTACGCTGTGGACAAACCCGTGAGGGCAATGAGAGCAAACGAGATTTTCAAACAACTCTTGTCACACATCAGAGTTTCCTTCCTTCTCCCAAGTAGCTTTGCACGCGGATGACTTCGTGCCACCTTTGCGAATTAACGTCCGGTAATGTTAGCCACTCATTAGTTACATTATGCTGCTCCTAGTGCTTTCTCGTGACGGAGGAACAATATATGTATAGAATAACATTGCCGTACTGGTAATTCCACGAAAAACATAATGTGACGCAAAGTCACCTCCTATTTACGGAGGTAATGTAAGGTCTTATTAAAATTTCAAAAGTCTAATGTTGAATATAAAAAACTTAAAATATAAAGTGTGTGATACTCTAAGGAACAAAATATAAATTGTGTNAAGACCAAAACGAAATTGATCGGTTCAGTCGTTACTTAGATATTGCCTTGAGAAAATCTTCCCACTTCTATTTTGCATGAATCTCGCGTATAATAGGCACGGTGTGCTCGCGCAGTTCGAGCGCAACTTCGTTGCGCGTGAAACTTGGCGCGAGGCACTACCGTGCCTCTTGATATTCAATTAACATTTTCCATATTGCACCTGTGCAGAATTACGCGAGCTACGATTCGAGGAATGTCGTCGAAATTGGAAGAGAGGTGGTGGGACAAAAATCCAGCCAGAGCTCGGTGTGATACTAACAACAAAATTGAATGGGGATTTACGCTTGATGATATGGCGGCGATATATCTACTCATTTTCATTGGAATATTTTCCGCGTGCGTTGTATTAGCTCTGCAATATTTCTGGCATATTGGGGTTTGGTGTTTTAACCGCTAATAGATCATCAATACTCGCACGTCATTTTTTGAATTTTTGAAAGTATATTTTATCTTTTATGCTGCGGAATGCTATTTCACTCAAACAGTCTTTCGTGACAGGCAAAACACATCTATGTTGTGTTTGTGACACAACGCGATCAGACCTCAGTGATCGGGTAACTGATCTATTCGACGTGACTTGAACCGTTTGAGAGAAAAATTCGAGTTTTCACTCGAATTAATTTTTAGAAGCCCGTTACAGTTTGTCGTTTAATCGATAAACTCGTTTGAAAGGGATCGGACTGGAAAAAATCCTAAAAAAAAAGAGGGTTCGGGATTTTCGCAGCCTATGCGTGTATATTCTTTTGCACTAAGGCCGCAAGATCGGTCTTGTTGATATGTTGCTCGAAGAAATCGCAATGAAAAACTGATAATTAAAAAAAAAGTAAAGAAAAAATAAATAAATATATAAATACATAGTTGAGAAAATAGAACAAAATATAAAGACAAAAAATTTGCACGCGTCTCATCAGAGAATAGGAGATACAACTTCAATACACACATATTTCGCGATGCGCGTTTTGTTCTTTTATACGAATTATGACATGAAAAATGTTGCACTTCTTATCTGCGATCTCCGATTTTAAATAAGGAAAATAATAATAATCGCATTATAATAACGTGGCGCATTTGCACGCGATAACTGCCTTACACGTATTTGATGCCTTGAACGTGTGGCAGATGGAGCCAGATATTATTGCAAGGTTCTGAATTGATTGTGCTTAAATTACACGTTTCGAGATTCTTAATCCCATTCCTCGTTAAAAACCGCATATATATGTCAAGGACTGAATTTACCTTCTATCGCGTAATTATGAATTACTGTGTGGACCGCGGGATATAGTAGTTTTCGAGTATTTTTTGCAGAGCCGGGGGTCAATTTGCATATATAAGAAACGCTACTGATAAATCGCTTCGAATGATGTAAGCTCGCGTGTTTAAGAGAATAAAAACCGATGCTACAATATTCTCTTTTTTGTAATCTACGCGTATATGTTCTTTTTCTCTGGAAAACACATGTCGCGCAGAGTTTGCATCAGTAACATTTAATTAATTTTGACTGTATACAAACTACAGATATCGCATGTAAAAATAAAAAAAAAAGTGTTGTGTCGGAAAGTCACTTGTTCCGTGACAAAGTAATCCTGGTTTTATCCCGATATACACATAAACTGAATATTTGAGCGAAATGCACTCCAACGGATTATAAATCACTGTCACGAGAAAGAGAGAGAAAGAAAGAAATAAAAAGAGAAAAGATTCATCTCGATGGCAGTTATATTAGCAGAAATGGAGTACGGTGTCGCGTAACACCTAGTTCCATCTCTCGATTCAGTCCTAAGCAAATAAAAATTGTTATCCTTGTTTCTCCGCGACAATGTTTTTTCTTTATTCTCTCTCTTCGGGATTTCTTTGCCAGGGATATATTTATATATATACACACGTCCAACAAAAACTATCAATTAAGGACATGTCAAAACAACAATTACAATTTGTTCAACTCGAATTAGACGTGACTAATCGTCGAGTAAACTAAATGTCTTCGTAAATCTATAGAACAAGCATAAATAATTGTTTTTATTATACTCGTTGTGTTGTGTAAACTCGAAAGAGAAAATGTTTACGTAAATTCAAAAAACAATTTATTCAACATTTTATCACAATTTTATTTTTTTCCGTTGTGATGTAAAAAAATATATATAGAAACGTTCTAACACACACACGGCACACGAGGCAAATGTTAACCAAAATACACTTAGCGTTGAATAAAGTCTCTTTCGCGAACCGATTTCAGAAAAAATACCAAACAAATGAAATGGAAGTGATCGATCGCGCGTCGAGCTGGCAACTAGTGCGTAAATGCAAATCTCCCCATTCATGCCTTTTTCCGTACTCAAGCGGTCACTTTTTCGGCATGTGCAAATCGTTTACATCGTCAAGTTGACACGAGCGAATTCAATTTCTCGATCCGATTCAACCTGCTAATCCCCGGTCGTTGCCGCAACCACCCACGCGAAATGTATATATTTATACAAATGTATATACGCGCGAAATGAGCGCATCGCATTCAAAATACAGAAATTTACCAAATACATATACATGTCGTATAAATGTCACAATAATTCTAATTCGCTAAGTTACATTATAGTATAATCTGATCAAACGTAATTATTTATACATGCGGCGATTTCCTTGCGTGAGATGAAAACCGGGTGATATATAAGAGTTGCACGAATCGTACGTATACTATATATAGATCAAAATTGATTTACAATTATTATCGCTGCGGCTTGTCAGCGACGCCATAAAATTTTCGTTAAAAAGAGATGATGACACGGGGTGTGTAGTGGGCACACACATGCCGAGACGATTGATTAGGGTCATCCCCGCGGCAACCGATGGGCAAACAGAAATAAAACCGGAGGACACCTCGAGGAGCGGGTCGAGCTGTCCGTCCTGTCAGTAGACAGCTGACCGTGGTTTCCACGCGCAATGTCGGCTTTGGGTTTTGTTTGGGCGTGTGTGACGAATTCGAAAGAACAAAATCGTCTCGGATAGAAGCGCTCCGACGATGTCGTAACTGGACCGCGAAGGCCGTGCTTCCAACCCGGCGTCCTACTTCTATACCCGATGACGCTCGCTTCGAGAGAGAGCGCGAACTAACGATATTAAGCTCAATATAAACAAAGTTACACAGTAAAAAAAAAAATGTTAATTTTAACATTTTTTGCATGTCCCAGGAAGTCCACTCTAAATTTTAAGTTAAAACAACTTATTCGTTGTGAGTCACTTATTGACAAACTAGTAAAGTTAAATAATTGACACAATACTTTACATTTATATTTGTTATTTTGACTGTAAGCGTGATGTAAAAATAACATATAAAATAATTAAAACTGCACAAAACAATNATTTGTGAAGTTAACATAAATTTGACACGTGAAAAGATTAAAAAAATAATAACATATCAGTATTATGTTAATTTTACATTGAAGTAATAATCAAAACGTCGTAACACAAGAAAAGTTCTACATTTTGACGCACAATTTTTTACTGTGTACAGTTAATCGCGCCAGGAGTATTGCACCGAGTTTCCTTAAAGCGACCAACTTTCGCGCTGAGCAACCCGAACCTCTCCCCGATGTACATTTTAGCATCTTCGCTCGGCGTACGCTAATAAGTGACCCGTAGCTTTCGGAATTTCAACTCGTATATCTTCGTATTGTCTTTTTCTCGACCTCGTAGAAAGATTATTTCTTCTGAATCGAGTTGATTGCTTTCTCCTCGGGGAACATCAATTTTGAGCTTATTCGAGAGACTTTCGGTTGCGAGTTAGGATAACGATCATGCTATTTGGCAATCGTGTCGCCAAGGTTTGTACGTTGTACGTTGTATCAACGATCTTAATGACCCATGCGGCAGAGACCACATCAACCACGAGCGATAAACAGAAGCCAACGCAATCGAGACCGGTGAATCTCTGTAGGTGTTTTCTTCCTAGGTATATGATGTGAAATCAGCAGAGTTAATTGTGTATTTTATACGATCGATGCACTATATACGATGCGCATCGTCGCCAGGTGCTACCACATTTGTCGTTACGTAAACGCAAAAAAAAAAAAGGCCCGCACACGCTCTCTCTTCTTGAACGCGGAAAGCAAAGGCAGACTTTTTTTTCAGGCCGTTTCAATGAACTTTTTAGCGATCCGATGCGCGGATTAACACCTTTGTCTCGTCGCGAGATCGTAGATTTTTATTAGCGGTTATTTAAAGTTATTTAAAGGTAGTAGAGCAAAAAGTGTTATCGTCTTAAGATTAATTATCTGACTCGGTTTTTATCTTTCTTTCTTTTTACATGCCACGTCGGCGCGATGCTTTTTCTTCAATTAGTTATTATTAATGATCTGAACAACGAGATGGCCAACGTGAGCGTGACCGCCGCCCTGAAGACCTTGAGGGAGAAGTATCCGGATTACTTGGGCAATGTGTGGTCCGTGCAGATCAACGAAACTGATTCCAGCGACAGTCTCGAGAAAATATGCAACACCTGGACCTCAGCTATCGGACGAGGCGGCGCATCCGTTCCGGATCTCGTCTTGGATGTGACAACGTTCGGTCTTGGATCCGAGGTCTCGGGTTCGTTCACCGCGGCTGTGGGAATCCCGACCTTGTCCGCCCAGTTCGGTCAAGAGGGTGACATTCGGTACTGGAGAGATCTGAATCTCGATCAAATGAATTATCTGATCCAAGTATGTCGTTCAAAAGTTTGCTATGTGTTCATTGTTGTGTAATTATATAATTATTCAGAATTATTCGGAATGTAAACATCTTTCATATATTTTTGCTCGGAATTTCTCTTCACAGATTATGCAACCGAGCGATCTTGTGCCTGAAGCTGTTCGGCAACTGGCGATCCAGATGAACATGACCAACGCCGGCATTTTCTTCGACAGTAACTTCGTCATGAATCACAAGTACAAGAGTCTGTTGTTGAATGTGCCAACCAGACATGTGATAAATCTGCTGCGGAACTCGAGCGAGGAAATACGAGCTCAGCTGATAAGTCTACGAGATCTGGATGTGGTTAATTACTTTATCCTGGGCGACAAGGATTCCATTTGCAAGATAATAGATGCCGGCGAGGAGTTGGCTTTCACCGGAAGGAAGTACGGCTGGTTTCTTCTGACCCTGGAGGACGGATTGTGGCCGGACTGTCCGTGCGAGAACATCTCCGTGTTGTTTCTAAAGCCGCAACCACCGATACCGGGCAATCAAAGCCAACCGGAGCCCGTCGTGAGAACGAGGCTACCGAAACCGCTCATCTCGTCCGCTTTCTATTACGATCTGACTCTGTTGGGCGTGAGCGCGATGAAGTTGGCGCTAGACAACGGCGACTGGCCCCTGGAACCGAATTTTTTCAGTTGCGACAGCTACAACGGCACGAACACACCGACGAGAGGTCTGGATTTTCTAAACAAACTAATGGAAGCCACAAGAAACATGACGCCGACGTACGCCGGTTTCAACTGGGGCACGAAAAACGGGGAGCACTGCGCGGACTTCAAGATGTCCGTGTACTTGGTGAACATCGAGCGACAAAAAATCACGTCGAAAACGGAGAGCGGGGAATGGCAGGCCGGCATCTCCGTGCCTTTGCAGGCAAGTGCAAAGAAACAGAAAATTAGTATCAAAATCTATTATATATTAATCTTTTTATAAAACACTAAGGCCCGATTTCTTCATACCTCCCGATAGCTATCCTCTGCATAAAGATATACAAAAAGATATACTTTATCTTTTAGATAAAGTTATTGCGAACTTATCAGAGGTGAAGAAATTGGGCATAACTGCTATATACATATTTACATGAACTGATTTTGAGTATTTTGAATTTGTTTTTATATTTTTTTATTGAAGAGAATGCTTTTTTAACTCTCTTGCGGCTTTTTCGATTTTTCATTCAATTCTCGAATGACATATCCAAGGATTATTGATCACGCTTGACCGTCGCAACTGACCGAGTGATATTTATGCGATCGATTGCTCATATTTTTTGTCATCCTTTTCTATGAATAGGTTCCGCGAAACACATATTAAATTGAGTTATCGTCGTGTTGAAAATCTCGAATTGCAATTGAAATGTTGTTGGTTCCGATTCATACTTTTATTAGATATTTGTTTTTTTTCGAGATATATATATATATATATATATATATATATGTATTTGGGTGTTGTTTTACATAATAGCGTGAGACAACAGATATTTTCTCGGAAATGAATTCGAACATTAATGATTGTTTTCTAATTGAAGCGAAAAAACATAGACCAACATTTAATTTACGTTATAGTCCTCTTTGTTCTCTTTACTTACTCGTATTCCGATAATTTTCTACGTCAACAGCAAGTCCCCGCAATCGATCTCTACTGGTAAGTACATTTTTATCTATCTCGAAAAAAAGTTCAAGGTGATAAAAATGAATATGGTTAGCGTGCACAAGTTTTATTTACTCGCGCATTACATCGCGCTGTGAAAGCGTCACGAAAGGACCTCTCTCTCTCTCTCTCTTTCTCCTTCCTTCGCTTTTTTCTCTCGCGCCGTCATTTCGTTTCGTTACATCGAGGAGCAGAGAGTGGATCGTTTCGATATCGGTTTTGTAAGAATTATTGACTGATTATTCATCGATGAGAAAACGCGAATTTGTATTTTGATTGAAGATCACCAACGAGATCATCATGAACAGCAGTGCGATAACGAGCTACAGAGTGGTCGCCGTGCAGCACCCGCCCTTCATAATGTACGATAACACCACCGATCAGTGGTACGGTTTCTGCATCGATCTCCTGAACGCGATCTGCGAGACCGTGCCGTTTGAGTACGAGGTGCGCGAGGTAGACGAGTACGGGTCGCTGAACGAAAACGGCAGTTGGAACGGAATGATCAAGGAGCTGATAGACAAACGCGCTGATATCGCCTTGAGCTCGCTCTGGGTCATGGCGGAGCGGGAGAAAGTCATCGACTTCACGGTGCCCTATTACGATCTAGTTGGCCTGACGATCATGATGCAGAAAACGAAGACGTCGACGTCGCTATTCAAGTTTCTCACGGTGCTCGAGAACAATGTCTGGCTTTGCATACTGGCCGCGTATTTCTTCACCAGCTTCCTCATGTGGGTGTTCGACCGCTGGTCACCGTACAGCTACCAGAACAATCGGGAGAAGTACAAGGACGACGACGAGAAGAGGGAGTTCAATCTCCGAGAATGCTTTTGGTTCTGCATGACCTCACTGACTCCTCAGGGTGGCGGCGAAGCGCCGAAGAACTTATCCGGAAGACTCGTGGCTGCCACATGGTGGCTCTTCGGCTTCATCATCATCGCGTCGTACACGGCCAATTTGGCGGCCTTTCTCACGGTGTCTAGATTAGAAATATCCATCGAGACCTTAGAGGATCTGAGCAAACAGTACAAGATACAATACGCGCCTATACTGAACTCGCCGGCATACACGTACTTCCAGAGAATGGCAGACATCGAAGGACGATTCTACGAGTGAGTAAAAAGTATTCTTTTTAATATAATTGAGAAAACTGTTTTTTTTTTTTTTTTTTTTTTTTTTTTAATTGAATGCTTCAGTCAGAAAAATCCGATGGAATGTGTTCGATTGTTGCAGAATTTGGAAGGATATGAGCTTGAACGATAGCTTGTCGGACGTAGAAAGAGCGAAATTGGCCGTTTGGGATTACCCCGTTAGCGACAAATACACGAAGATGTTTCAGGCTATGAAAGAGGCTGGTTTTCCAGCCGACATGGACGAGGCGCTAAAGCGAATTCGACGTCAGGGTCAATATTCGAGTAATGAGTTCGCTTTTATCGGAGACGCCTCGACCATCAAGTATTACACTATGAAGAATTGCGATCTGACTCAAGTCGGGGAAGAATTTTCGAGAAAACCGTACGCTATCGCCGTACAGCAAGGCTCGCCGCTTAAAGATCAATTTAATAACGCGTACGTAGTAGTTGTAAATTGTTCGGAAAATTCAAAAAGCGATTTTTTGCATCAACTTTTTTTTTTTTTAATTGAAAAACGATATAAAAATGAAATGATATCAAAGTACATTTTGTTAAAATGATATTCTTGAATTGGATTTTTTATAGGATCCTCATACTGTTGAACAAAAGAAGACTGGAAAAGCTGAAAGACAAATGGTGGAAGTATAATCCGGAGAAGAAAGACTGCGAATCGGAAAGCAGTCAGAGCGACGGTATCAGCATTCACAACATAGGCGGTGTGTTCCTCGTGATTTTCGTGGGCATTATCTTCGCTTGCTTCACGCTGGCCTTCGAATACTGGTACTATCGGCATCGCGCAAAAGTAAACGAATTGCACAAATCTACATCTGGCAAACCGAAATTTCCCAAATCGATCAAGTCGATCAAGTCGATCAAGTTTAATTTACATCCCGCCCCGACTCGTGCGTTTCAAACGTCGCAATTTGGATCGAGATTCTAGGTTTCACCGGCTTTATATGTATCTGCAGAATATACATGTAGAGAGTACGAGTGCAGCGTTATCGCACAAAAAAATGGAAGTTTGTGTCTGGAATAAATGTTTTTTTTTTCTTCTATATCAGTCTATATTAAAATACTTCGTAAATTTTTGCGATCACAAGAGTGATCGTTGCAAAAATTGACACGATTTTAGAGCGTACTTTTCTGTTCTACGTGTTTCTTTAAGGTCTAAGTTGATCCGTGACAAAATAAAGTACAATTTATACTATTTATGTATATTGTTAGGAGAGGGATAAATAAATTTTCACGCCCACTTTTCATAATTGCAATGCCTTTATTTATCGTTTCCACCATACATTAGTCGCGCAAAGATAACCTAATCGCTCTTTTTAATTTTCTTTTACATTGCATTGCACGTTCAGTCGCGTCAGTTTCCAAATACAAATGTTGTTCACGAGTGATACAATTTGTTCGACGCGTAACATCTTTCAACATTTACTTCAACATTCGTTTCCAAAAAGGCATCTGCATTCTAGTAACATTTTTCTTGTATCTCTTGCGCATCCTTCGCAAGAAGCGTGTTCTCAAGTTACACGGTTTTTTTGTTTTTTTATATGTATGTTTTTCAGTTATTCGGTTTCCTTAAGGTGAGCACAAGGAAAGCGTTGGATACGGGGAGATTTGGAGAAGGGATAGGGGCTGGAGAAAGGGGGAGATTAATCTTCTAGGCAGTTAAATTATAATTAGAAGGATACGGTTAATATAATCCATTAATTAATTACAAAAAACAACAAGAAAACAGAACAGCACTTCAAATGCCCGATTTCTAGCCGTGCGGCGTTTAAGATAAGTACTCAAAACTGTATTCTTTCATGTATAATAAATCTCCAATTCCTAAGTCGCACACATGTAATTGCTTCTTTTGTTTTTCTTTTTTTTCATAATAATTAAATAAGTATGGCCTGCACGTCGGGCGAGAAACAAAATTGCTTACTACAATTTTCTAAAAAAAAACTCAGCGCGTACTAAGTTCTTTTCGAAAATCACAAAGTAATCAACAACCTACAACTTAAATCGCGTTGACTACGTGTTTTTTTCTTTAACGTTCTCTCAACGTTAAACGCTGGTGTACACGTAAGGTATACACTCTCTTTTTCTTCGTCTCGTTCTTTTTATTCGCATCAAAGGATTCACCTAATTATCTAAATGAAGTTAATATTCTTGCGTTTCGTTTCATTACATGTTGTTCATTACAAGTAACGATGGGGTTTACTTGTGTCCTTCTTGGATACATGCATAACAAATTCCACATGCCAAGAGGACCCCCATTTACGCTTCTCTCTTATACAATTCTTTGTATCGCGAAAAAAAAGTATAGCTAAACCTCCAAACTCCGGTTATATAGCTATTTTTTTTATTTTTTTTTTATTTTAGCAGCTTACGTTATTTTCCGTTCACAAGGTCAACGGACGCAAAGTCCTCAATGGCTGGCACCCGAAGCTGCTGTGCCTTCTATCGAAAAAAAGATATACGTATATAATTATTATAATTGTGAAAAAAAAAAAAACTAAATGATATCCGTAAAACTTTTACATGGTCAGTGTATTTTTGAAGATTACGAATGATTCCTAAGATAGCTATGATAGCAAAAACTACTGCTAAACAAACATTTCACTTATATTTTAGCATTTTTTCTTTTTTATTTTTTGTTGTTGTTTTTGACATGGGTCCCGTATCGCGCAAAAATTGATCCCAAATTTTTTCGAATTTTCGCGTTGAATATTTTTTAAAATTACAATAACACGTACATCGAGAGATATTTTTGCAAGACATTCTTATAAATACGGACGTTTTTACTCTTTTATTTCCTAATTTTTATTTTTTATTATTTTTTTTTTAAATTATTTTAGGTTTTATTAATTTTATTTAATTTTTTTTACTTTTTCTTTATTTTGATCCAATTATGATTATACAGAATATCGCATAATAAATTCCACATTCTTCATCATAATTTTTTCACTCTTCATCGCTGATTTCGTATAATCGAATTTGACATTTAGAAAAACAAAGTATAGTGATCGCCTGCAGTGGGTGCCTGATCGCCAATTCGTCGCTGTTCATTTACTGTCGCCATAGTTTTCGGCGCAAAGAAACTATATCATTTCATCATCTATATCGCTCATTTTTATCAAACGCTGTTCCTTGGAATACAGTGAGTTCCTAGGAATCACTGACATGTACATCAACAACAAATTGCTCCGCGAGAGAAGAGGGAAAAGTTCTTTTTATGCGACGTACTTCAACTGCTGCTTCTAAGCAAATGAAATTCTGTAACAATTTAATGTAACAAGTTTTAAAATAAATAAATAAAAAAAGAGGTGGATAAATAAAGAAAAAGAGAGAGAGAAAAAAGATCAGAAATACTGAAAGAAAAAAGACCAAGATGACAGAAAGAGAATAAAACAAGCCGCTTGAAGAGTAACGACGGCATGGAATAGATAATCGAGCCGCAAACATTCATTGAGAACCAAAAAACACTACCCAGTCAGAAGCAATCAGACCCTTTGATGTAACACAAACATTCCCTAGTGATAATAATTCAGAAAGGAAAGGCGCCCTAAAGAAAAAGAATCAATCGACTGCATCTCTTAGCAGTTAGTTACGATCGTCAGGTCCGCATAAGAAAAGATCGACCCAAAATTCTCATCACCAAAGGTGACGAAATTCTCTTTCAAGCAACGAGATAAATAAAATATAAATTTCACGCTAAATGTATATATTTTTTTTTATCAAGTGACAAACTTCAATATATTTAAATCTAATGGTTCAGAAAAAATAATCATTATGCGGTAGAATTTTACATCTCGTTTTTCCGGCTCGCCTCTTTCAGATCTTTTCTAACAGACAAAAGAAAAGAGTGAGAAGAAACAAAGTGACGTGAACATGATATTATTTCCACTGGACGATGGTGGAAAGAAAACATGATGTGATGAGGCAGTATCGTGTGAGAAGAAGATAGAAGAAAAGATTATGCAATGATAGTTTTTGTCTAGATAGGTTGCACTACAGTTAGAACATAGTAACGAGAAAAAAAGATAAGTCTTTCGTTTGCATCTCTCACGAAACATTCAGTGTCGATCAATATGCACGCCGGGCAGTACTTGTTTATTCTAAGGCCTGTTTTTATCATTATGACGCGATATTTTTTTTTTTTTTTTTTTTTTTTTTTTTAATGTAACTTTTATGTAATTAAACGCGCGTTTGCAATGCATTTGATGCGTATTTTTAGCAATGTTTATTACCTTCTTCTATGAATGTGCAGAGGATCTGTTTTTTGTTCCCAGCCAATGGGATTCAAAGCAAAAGAATCTTTTTTGTTTTCTTTTCGTTCGTCATCTTGATCAAAAGCTTCGTCAGAAGTATAGCAAAACTGATCCTGTTTGGCTAAACTTCCGGATTCATCTTCGTCGGAAGTATAGCAAAGTAATTGATCGTATTCTTCTGGAAAAAAAGTTTCCAATGGTTCAGTTTGGACGCTCTTGTCACATCCCTGACGCAAACGGAATTTCAATGTAAAATTCGTAAAGTCTGGCATCGTAGGCTCCTTATACTCCATGTACGGGGTTTCGTCATCCATTAGATATAGCATTCCTGAAGTGGATCTGCGATACATGACCCGTTCCCATGAGTTGTTGACGGCAAATGATGTTCCATCTATATAACCGTTCTTTATCGGACAAAAGTGAGTACGATCAGATTCCAGAAGATCTTCGTCTGGCTCGAGAACTTTTACTTCCAGACTCATACGAGATCCATTGCTAGCTCCTGTGGAAGGTTTCGGAAACGAGGAACATGTTTGGCCGGCAGCATCGGCTCTCCAATTAGGAGGAAAAAAAGGTCCTGGAGATAGGAAAGACCAATCTACGCGGCGTTCTGCAACAGTAATGAAAATTTGCGTCAGAGAGAAAATAAATTTTTACAAAATCTATTTTTATATTACTTTATCATAAATAATCTAGCTAACATACTTGATTAAACAAGTATATATATTTGTATTTACTGACCTTGATTGTTTGCATTATCCTCGTTAAGATTAATATTATTGTGTGGAATATGAAATGGTGACTCAAACGAGTGCTGCTGGTTTGATGCATTATAACCGACATTACGGTTATTTTCGGATCGAGAAAAATTCGCATTTGGTTCTAGCATTCTGCTAGGACCATCTATGAGCCAAGGAACAGAGAGCGACCCATTTGGCGGAGCCCATATAGAAGCCGTATTTTGCGCATTGTTCGATGTCGGGCCCCAAATTATCTGTAAGCTCTTGATCTTCGCCTCTAATTCCTCTAATTGATCGCGTAACTCTGACTCGCGTAACTCTGACTCGCGCTCACGCTCCATTGATCTAGCAAATCCAAAACTTTCTTTTTCTTCCGACGATTGCGATTCAATGTTCTACAAAGAGAGCAACGATATATGTATAATAGTCATGTTAAAAAGATCATCACGAAAAAATATTATTTTATACTTGAAAACTTACCACAACAGACATCTTACTTTTTTTATTGCGATAGTTTGTATTTTTGGTATTGTGCAAACTAATTCCGTTGTTCTTATTGTTGTTCTTGTTGGCCAAGTTTCGATCTTTCCGCTGAGAAAACTTTTTGATGGAAACAGATTGCAAAGCCGGAAATGCTGTGTAATATCTGAGAGCTTTATCGCGAGGTGATAACTCTAAATTCGTTTTGGATTCGTTATTGATTTGCTCTTCTCTCTCGTTACACGAGTTTTTCCCATCCAATTCTCTTATTTTCATACACAGTTCATCAACTAGCGTCTCCACTCCGTATTTCTACAATTAAAACATCATTTTTACCTTAAAAGAATAGAAGCATCTTAAATAAGTCATGCAATTTCCAAATCAAAGAAATATATGAACACGTGTCGTTTCCGTAGATGCAAATGGCGAAATTCACTATCATGATGAATGGCACGTGCGGAAAACGAAACGCATCCTACATTTCGTTTATGTGACATCAAATATTGTACATTCGCTTTAAACACTTACGCACTTTAACTGTCGAAATCAATTTTTTGCTTTTTAAATGTAGAACAAATATAGATTGAATGCGAGCTATAGCCAAAACGAAATTCGTGCACACCGTAGTGTGTTCACTATGGCCGCCGACGCTTTTTGATGCGACACACCCTAAACGCCGACAACTTTTATCGCGTAATATCTTTCCCTTTCCCTAGAAATGTTCTAACAGAAATATTAAAACAATAGTAGTTCAATGATTACGCGATTATGCGTTACATGAAAAAATATATGCTACAGGATTGTACGTTCTTAGAGTCTATGTTCACTAAATAAATGAATATAACAAAGATGAACGCGATGAAAGCCGCTAAGTCAAGTTGTTACAATAATGCGAGATTTTAAACACTCTTTGATTGTGAATACATTTGTGTTAAGACGCTACGTATATGTGACTATATGACTATTTACGACGCTAAATGATTACGATTTGTGGATGTTACGTACCCACAAAGATGAAACAGGAGAGTAGTACACAGAGTATGCTTCATCAAGAAATGCACGAAACAGACTAACGTAACGTCTAAACCTGACTCCTGAACGTTTTGAATGAAAAAGATTAAGAGGGGGCGAAAGCCATCGTAATGTGTAAACGCACCTATTGGTCGGTTACTACAATAGCAGTAGAGTAAGAGTAGTGGTATTTTTAGGCAATATTTAAGCAGCGAAAAGTTAAAAAAACTATATCATTTTAGTAAATCGCTCTATGGTTCTAATTGGACTCGAGACTTGTAATTCATACAATCGACCAATGTGATTTTTCTAAATTCTTTTTCACTAGCAGTGTCAAGATTCGGGAAGATCTCTCTTCCGTTACCTCCTCCACAGGTAAGGTGCATTCATATTACGTAACTAGGCGATGCTAATACTGTGTAACACACAGTGTTCATCAGTGCGAGTGAGAGACACTGATACATACTCTCTCTCACACGAAGAGACACTGTGGTACAGCATCGTCTATGTATGTAGCTAGAAAGCACATTCATCTTTATGGAATTGATTAATGCGATGACGAAGCATATGATATAAAAAAAAAGCGCAAGTGTAAAGAATAAGTCCCTGAATAACGTCGATTTATCGTATAAATATAAATAGTCGAAGTGCTTCAGCGCTTACACGTTGGAACGTTAGTCTATATTTGTTCTACATTCGAAGAGCAATAAAGACGAATCGACCCTTAAATTGTTTTTGGACATGTTCAAAAACGAACGCTCTCAGATATTGCATCCCAATATCCACTGCCAGTATTAGAAATCTATAACACATGTAACGTGAAAGATAGATTTTTAGGATTGTGCAGTGAATATTGGAACGTAGCCAGTAATATGTAACGTCTCAAAAACCTTGGGTGCAGTCTGTCTATCTTTATTCTACATTTAACGAAGAATAAAGATAGAACGATGCTTTAAAACATTCGCAGTGAGACTTTGACCGCATCCCATGTTCGGTTACTGTTTGATACTGGCAGTACTGAAATCTATTGGTTCATATTAGGCAATACTGCCGTACTTCTTCTTTGCATATATGGCACACGCCCCTGCACGTGAGAAGCAAAAGCCAGCAATATTGCTGTACTTTTTTGCATATATGGCGCACGCTCCTGCACGTGAGAAGCAAAAGCCAGTAATACTGCCGTATAAATTGCAGCCATAGGCTGTGTCCAGTTAAGCAAGATGGAACGAACTAATGCAGGAAATGCAGGAAATACAGGAATTGTAATGCAGAAATAGCAGGAATTGAAAGAAGTCGAGAAAGTGCAAAAGAAAAAATGAGAAGGTGTCTCCCCGATTTGTTGTGGTGCATGCGTAGTAGCAGACAGTTGTCTGCACCTTCTCGACTTCTTTCAATTCCTACTATTCCTGGATTTTAATTTCTGTATTTCCTGCATTTGTTCGTTCCCTCTTGCTTAACTGAATACAGCCATAGATATAAGAAATAGAGTGCGGGAACAAACTGAAAAAGCGATAGAGATTTAGAGAGAGAAAGATGTATAAAGGCTCTTTCTGTCCTTATCTAATCGGTAGTCAACGCTGATAATGCTGAGCAGACGCAGAGCTCATTTTACTTTTAGTACAAATAACTGTTTTATTACTGTTTTCTTTATAAACAAAAAGTTAAATAAATTGATTATAATATTTTTACAAAAGTAATAATAATGATAGGTAAAAGAGTGAAGAAATTCTACTACCATTGATATCGTTGCGCATGCGTCATTAAACAAGGAGAAGGCCCATATGCATCTTTCTCTTTCTAAGTCTCTATCGGATCCACCTACGTGCTAGCATAAGACTCGCGCCCTCTAGTCTTACATCTCTATGGCCGCTATTCATAGTCGAATCTTATATTTAAGATCGTCTTAAGTTTATCTTCAGATGCTCTGCGGCCAATAAAATTATTCGCACATAATCTGAAGATAAACTTAAGGCGATCTTAAATACAAGATCCGACTATGAATACCGGCCTATGATTGCGTCAGAATGTAAACTTACATCGTCAGCAGCACTTATTAGACATTGTATAACAGCTTGTCGTTGCTCCCTATTATCGCAGGTTAGCAACTTTGTTTTAGATCGGTCACATGAACGACATTCTGTGCCTACACCAAGCCTAAATGCCTCTACCGGAGGACTAAGGGCCGAGTCGGGGCGGCGCAGGATACTCAGCACAAATCGCGAGTACGCTACTGGGTCAATACCCAATGCGTCCAAGCGTGCTTCAAGCCACCTACGCAACTCCTCCTCGGCCCGCGATCCGAAAATCCCTTCTCCTCCTCCAGGAGACGCTGCTATCCCGATCAGATGCAATGCCGGGTTCCTCATTCCCTCTTAATAGCTCTAGTCTTAGACCAAGGAACTCTAACCAACTCCATTGCTTCCAGGATGATCATCTTCTCTTCTATAAAATCGTACGCAATAAATAAGTTTGATGGTTAAAATATCTTATTATTAAAAAAAAAAAAAAATAATAATTAGACTACTCATTGTGAGAGTCAATGTAGTTTGACTTAAAATTTAAGATAAACGTACCTATATACAGTAAGATATGATATATTTTATTATTGTCTGTTTCAGTAGTGCAATTTTTTTATATAGAATCTCCACACACCACTACACACTTTAATTTTTCAATATTTTGTCTCAAATCTTGTCTTCAAATTTCTTATGTTACTTAATTCTCCAATATTATTCTTTGTTTCTTACAGTTTTGGTTATGTTGTATGAGAATTATTTAATTCTTGTGCATGTAGGTGGTGGATATATCGTTGAAGTGAGGCTGGCAGGTCTCAGTGAAGGACAACAAGTATAGTTTCCTTCCCATTTTGACACTGAAAATTAAAAATTAAGTAAGAACAAACTAGAATTACTTATTAGTCTTATTTCTATGTAATCTCGTACTCTTTTATTTCTATGTCAAATAATGTTATATAATATTATTTATAAACAAGATTCCTTTGTTTTTTTTAAATGTATTATCTAGTTTTTGGTTAACCTCATAGATATATTCTTTATTTGCAGATGTATAGGCAGACAAAGCAAGAAAAAATCAAAACTTATTTCATTTTTATACATCGTCACTCCCTACGTATAATTACATAAGTGTCACATATGGGATTTTCAGTTTATTGCATAATGACACTTAGAAAGTCATGTTCTTTATGGTCACCAAATATTAAAAAAAAATATTCATAAATAAGGTACAAATTTGAAACCGAAAGATCCCTAACTATAGGGAAACATATGAAGCTTTATACTTTTAAACTGCTCTCCTCTAAAATTTGCGTTTTGGAATTACGGAATTATACGTAGAGAGTGACGACATGTAGATACATCTTGTATGTATCTGCATGCATACATAAAGAAGACAGTCTTATAATTCAAGAAGGAATCTATATCATCCTCCAAGAACTACTAAGATATTATTATCTAAGATATTAGATATTATTCTATAAGGTCCATATCAATTTACTAATGAGTTGTATATGAATACATAGTTTATACAAGTATGTATTTTAGTTTATCTTTTATAGAATTTTGCATATATTTTTAGATTATTATTGTTGTACATAGTAATCATATAAGTATAAGAATTATTTTTGTACTAACTAAACTAAAAACAGTACTGGTATTTATGAAAGTGGTTAAATTAAAATGTCATCTTAGTATATAAAAATAACTTTTATTGTATATGAAATGAGAATGTCAAATTTTATTTATAAGAACATTGTGTCAGTAATGCTAAGAAACATAAAGTAATACTTGTGATGAATTATATTATGAACATGTGTATTTTACTTTTAAATATTAGAGTGATTATATTGTCATATGTTGTTAATTCTATAATTATTACTTACAGACAATTAAAAAGCAAAACTAAAAGGACTAACAGGACTAGTATTAATACTATGGATAATTGATACAAAGATGATTCTTGTTTGCAAAATAACAAAGACAAATTCTATCACAACAAAAACAGATGAATTCTCAACAGAAAATGTTGAAAAACACAGAGAGAGAGGGAACATCAGAAGGAGAAAAGATTCAACAAAATCATCAAGATGCATTACGTATGTACAAATAGACACATTGCGACGATACACACCATTGTAATCGCGTCAAAGAGACATGTTATCTATAGATACGCGCGTGTGTGCAACTAAAACGTAACATACATCAGTATTACGTATTATTCACGACGAGAACGTGTAAAACGCAATTACAAGTGAGTCTGCATGCACGAGTTGTTGGCAAAGAAAATTTTGTGGATCATATAAATTCAAATAACCTTGCAGGATTGCACTTTAGTCTTGCCTGAGTCATAGTTCGGCCCGCGACGTAAGTGCGTATACGCGACGAGGTGTTACGAAAGCCCGCTCACGGCAATATAATCCGCATCTATGATGCAGTAATGCGCAAGTTTGAACAGGCGCATCCTAAGGATTTAAAAGAATATTCAAAACATATTATTTACCTGCATGCCTCTAGAGATGATTTTCACCCCGGCCCTGTTCTACACACCCCACTGAGTAAAAAACATGGCGTGTTATTAATATAAACTTGTGTTTAAAGCATAGTACATACATACAGGATAAGGTTTGGCGCAGTTTCAACGCTGTCGACGTAGACCTCTAGTCAAAATCCCGCAACCATGTTCAAGGTCGAATCAAGATAGTGGCCACGTTCAGCAGACTGAGCAGATCAGTGATCGCTTGGTGATTCTTTAATATGATTGAATCTTGCCTTTAGATCTTCAATGGATCTAAGTATAGAAACCAATTATATTGAAGAATCACTAGGCTGTGTTCAGTTAAGCAAGATCGAACGAACTAATGCAGGAAATACAGGAATTCATTAGTTCCAATTCCTGTATTTCCTGCATTTCCTGCATTAGTTCGTTCCATCTTGCTTAACTAAACACAGCCCTAAGCGCTCACTGATCTGCTCAGGCTGCGTTCGGAGAGCGCGCTATCAGCGCGTCATTCTATCTTTGTTTTACATCTAATGAGCAATAAAGATAGAATGATGCAACAGCGCTGATAGAGCGCTCCAGCCTCAGTCTGCTGAACATGGTCAGTTTCCCGCTATAGGAACTCAAGCCTCTTGCACAATGGGCGGAATAGCGATAGCGATAGAAATAACAAAAGTTTTAAAGAGTTTAAAAATTTATTTAAAAATAAAGGTAGGAACAGCGGAATCTAACATACAAAACTACACATGTATCAATGCAGATGAGAAAATCGGAATAAGCAATAGCGATAAAATTTCCGACGAGTTGGAATTCTGTGTTAAAAACTGTGTTATTTCTATCGCTATCGCTATTCCTTCCATTGTGCAAGGGGCTTCACACAAACCGCTTCTCAGCAGAGATGCCAGATTTTGAACACTTGGTAGTGAGACGCAGAGATGCCAGATTCTGAACACTTGGTAGCATGCGGTAGCAGTGGTAGCATGGAGAGGATGCGCATACAACCTCAATCCGAAGCTCGAGCTTCGGGCGCGATCGCACACGTACACGATCTGAGGTTGTGTGCGCATCCCCTCCATGCTACCGCATGCTACCAAGTGTTCAGAATCTGGCATCTCTGGGGTGCGTTCCAAAATCCTACCTTGGTTACTAAAATGCTATATTTCACGTCACGTGTACTATAGTTTTTGGTAACCAAAGTAGGATTTTGGAACATACCCCAGGTGAGACGTTGACCGTACCCAGACTGACGCGTAAAGAGCCGTCTACAATGGAGAGTTGTAGGCCGTANTAGTAAGAAATTGACCAATCACAGACAAAGTACAGAAGAATAATCGATTGTGATTTGTCAATTTCTTACTGTTACGGTCTAAAACTCTCCATTGTAGACGACCCTTAAAGCCTGTTCTACATTGATCGCAAGCGCAAACGCAAGGAACAGGTCTGGTAGAATTGACTAATTGTATTGATCAAATCAGCCAATTGATCAGCGTGATTGGTCAATTCTACGAGATCTATACCTTGCGTTTGCGCTTGCGATCAATGTAGAACGGGCTTAANCTGCACTTTTCCACGAGCGCACACGGACGGCGGTTCTCGCTTGTGTGCGTATCCCCACCACTTCAGTGTTTTCGGTGCTGGCCGGCTCGAACCTTGCAACGAAAGACCGGTGACGCGAGACAGCGCGATTAGGCCGTCTCACTTTAAAAGAAGGACAGACTAACTCAACCACTTGAGGGCGCCACTTCCCGGGCAGAGACCCCAGTGCGGACTTCGGATCTCGCTCCAGTACCCTCTTAAGCGTCCAAAGTGAACGCACCCATAGCGCACGCACCGCCATGTTTGTGGATATGGCCACGTAGTTGCCAATGTGCACCACCTATAGACATAGCGCTGGCTTACAGAGCAAAAAAACTAGAACAGGTTTTCACATGGCTCTGACCGCTCTCAGTGTTCTCTCTGATGTGATGACACCTTTGACTTAACCTAATAATGGAGGAAACTAAACAGTTTTTTTTGTCAGTCAATCGACGTATATTTAGCAATTGGACAGCATTACGCGTGAGTTTACAATATTGTAAATCTTGCATTAACACTAATCAAAACATCTCTCTTTCAGATATAAAAATAATGTAAAATTCTCTCTTGTGTTTTTTCTTTCTTTAATAGTTTTTTATTTTACTTTAAAAGGTAATACTTTTAATATATATATATTCACAATATTTATGTCTGTATAATAAACAAATTCTTACACAAATCTTTACACAAAATTCTTTATTTGTATAGTTGGCAGTAGAAAATGATATGGGTCCGTTAGAACAAGCAATAGAGTTCTGTTCGTATACAACAGATCTAATATATATGAATGGTTTGTTGGTTTTACCATATCTTAATATATTGCAATAATTGTAGACTATTGATTGTTCATTATCTCTTTTTTTTAGAAGATATAACTATTAGTGAACTTGCTGAGGAGCTAGAAGGATACATGGATGATCAGTTTAACACTGAAGTGCATGATGACAGTTGTACAGCAGTGGCAACTGACTTATTAAAATTTTTCCATTATTGTACAAAAGGGGACGAATCTAATGCAAGAGAAGATCTCGAGAAATTGCCACCAGAGCAACCTTGGCTCTCCAAAAGTCCTCCGCAATATACTCATCCTGTGCCGGTAAAACACAATAGTAGTTCAGAGGAAGATATGGAAGTTGATGTAAATGAAAAAGACGATGGATGGACAATGGTAAAAAACAGACGGAATAGATAACTTACAAAATAAATTTCATTGTTTCTTTTATTTTGTACAAAAGATACTTTACTCAGCATTGAGATATAAAAAGACATGGAAAGACATACAAAGAGAAAAAGAAGGCCAGCTCATTCGTTCCACAGTCATACATCATTTCAATGATGAAATTTATCTACAATATTTTTTTACCTAAGCATTCTTTTTTATTAGTCTCTCTATTATTTACCGAGAGCTTTCTTCTATATCTGTAAAAAAAAAGAAGAAACTGATTTTGGTTATCTAAAAATTTGATCTGACACAACATATTGGAAATTGTAACGCTCATTACCTTTTTGAGATAGTTGAACGGTGTAATAACCGTTGTGATATTGCATAGCCTGGCTCTTTTTTGATTTGATTTGTCTTCTTTCGTTAGGCCCTGCCAAGCTTAATATCACCGGTAGGAACAGCAGTCCGTGAAATAATCCAAAAAACACCACAGAGGCGAATAACTAAAACGACATGAAATATTGAATTTCTATTTTTTAACAATGCTGTTTTAATTATGCTGAATCTATACCTTAAAGAACGTTATGAAAACATAAGCTTGACTGAAACCTAGAAGGGCAAAAGCGAGGAATGTGCTCAGACCACCATTGAAAACTGCTGGCCCAATAACGCTGAGCGTTGTCAATGCCCTTTCTGCAAATGAGAATTATTGTTTCTATCGAGTTTTTGTTTCAAGATAATTTACTAGTTAAAAGATATAGATTTTATATGATTATCTACTCATTTTTAACTAGCAAAGAATTCGTAATTTGATATAACTTACCTTGTTTACTGCCGCTGGAACGTATAAACTCTAGTGCGATATGCGCAGCGTAATCGACTGCTAGTCCAGCGCATAATAAAATCATAATCGTCGACGAGATCTCGACTGTTAGTCCTAAAAAGTACATCGAACCCAGTAGGTCGATGAGCGTGAACAATACGCAACACATCACCCAGAATGACGCAAGTAAATTTCTTAGCAGCACCAGCGTCACTATTCCTACTGCTACTATTTCCAAGCTGAGATTCCTTATTAGTTCTTCGCCGATAATCTATGCAACATTGATTGTGTGCGTCAACATATTTCAAAGATTTCCATAAATAAATTTTTCACATAAAATTCTTATTACTTTATTTGACGCCCACGTTATGTAGTCCAACGAGTGAATCGCGATATAATCGTATCCGTGAGTAAAATTCACCGACTTTATGGCATCCCTGACTGATTGCATAGCCTGTATCTGATCTGACGTCGTACTTATAGGTATGTGTTGCACTGGAATCTGCGACGTCTAAAATCGTTCTTCATGAAAAATTTGTTTCCGTAAAGAATACACAAGATTGTATCGTTCTTTTAACGTTTCTTTTTTTACATACTGTAATATTATAATCATTAAACGGCAATTTGTTGAATTTTATATCCTGTATGTATCCTTGACCTTTCACCGTGAACAGCAGATATTCCGTGAGGTAATTGTAATATTCGTCTTTATCTCCAATGTATTGTGCTGCAATTATAAATGATTTATTAGTACATATACATATATAATATATATATATATATATGGAATTTTTTAATATTTATGTTATGTTTTTATTTGGTGTGCATAAGTTTTCATTGCTCTTCTTGGACTTTTTTTTATTATTTGAACAAAAATATTTTTAAAATTTCCATAATTTCTTATCGCTTTTTACAATAAACTGCAATGAAATTCGAAGTACCTTGGTGAGTGTCATCTAGCCACTTCTCATAGGCTACAAACCACGGGTCGAGGGTGCCATTGTTAACATAAGGATTCCGCTTGAGCTTGTCCACTAACTGGAATAGCGCCTGGCGATCTTCATAGTAGTCCACGCCCGTTAGATATATATTGACATGTTTGCCATATTTCGGAAAGTGTTCCGTCAACTTGTTATTAAATTGTATAGGATATGATTCTTGATTCAAGTACATGAGCGGATCAAAATTCTGCTCCAGATGAAATATCGCCCACACGTTAATGCCCAATAAAATGGCAGTGAGCAATAAGATAATTGTCTTGGTCGATATTCTCATAATAAAAGGTCCAACGTATTTCTCGAAAACGAACCGCTGAAAATTCTGTTTGCTGCATTTGTTCGGCCGCCAGTTGGGACGCGGCCGACAAAGACAGCTGTCCTTCTTCGCTGCCAATCGTCTTTCGTCATATACCAGACAACTGACGAAGAACATGATTTCATAAATGTAAAGAAACAATATGCCCATAGCGGCGAACATACAGAAAGACTTCAGGAATGGCATCACCGTTGTCATGCCAATGGCAAAGGCCACCATGTTAGTGAATGACGTCACGGTAATGGACATACCTGCAAACGCAAACAAAATGTTGGTCGATATACGACAGGAATGATGCATTACGATATCTTTGACATCGAAAAACTTTGCTTCGTCGCACCTGATACTTGAATAGACTTTGCTATTCGCATAGGGACGTCCAGAGATTTTTCCGTTTCCGACGTAGTCTCCAGATTTTGCATGATGACGAACATATCGTCGACACCGATGCCGAGCAGTAGAAATGGCAGGATCGGATGCACCGGACCGTATGAAAATCCCATATAATAGCAAAGACCGTAGGACGACAGGAGAGCTTGGCCGACGACCGAGATGCCCATGAGGGCTAGATAGATCCGTTGCTGCATCGTATTGCACCGACCGATCATTACGACCACGTAGATCGTGATCAGAGACATGCCGCAGAATAACACAGTCATGTTGTTATTGATCACTTGATGCAACACATCCTGATAGCTGCGCACCGTCACCGCGTAGATCTCCATGCCCGGTGGCAAAGTGCGATTCGGATGCAATATCCTATCGATAAATTCGATTTCCCATTCCGGCGAGTGCGGATTCGACTTCTTTAACAACCAGTACAAAATCGTCGCGTTCGCACTTATTACCGTTCCATTTTTGTCGTACTCGACTCCCGCTAGCAACGGCGCTACGACGGACAGTATATCTTTGGTGTTTCTGTGTAAATTAACATAACAATAAGATATGATAAACACGGGAACGCTACTACGTTGTTTATGCGTGTCTTTCAATATAACGAAATTGAAAAATATTTTTTATTAAAAAGTTACAGTTTTTACTCACTTATTTTGCAAAGTTGCGGTGACGTCCCTCAATATCTCTGTCTTGTTTAATTTGTCAATAATATTTTCATCCTTTTTCTGCCATATCTTAAGTAACGATTTGTGAATACAGGGCTCTTCTGACATCGTCATATTTATATAGGGCAGATATTCCTCGGGAAAGTCGGTTTTATTCATGATTTCCCACTTATCGTCCTCTTGGAACCACGTAAAATACCTGTGTTGCACGAATGCTTTTATATATAAAACGACGCGAAATAATCATCGTGTATTTTTACACAATAAGACACTCACCCAGCGCACACATCCTCCCAAGTATTATTATTCACTACTATATTCTTCACGTCACTCTCAATGTCTCTAATCTATAATTACACAAAGTAGATGCGCGTTAATTTTTTTAAATAATGTGGACGTGTGTGTGTGTGCGTTATTTCATATAAGTGTTAACAAATAGTTTTAACACGAATAAGAAGATGTACGAAAGTATTGTTTTATAACAAACAGCTAAACGATTTTTTTTAAACAATTCGAGAAAACTTTTGCGAAAATATGTCAAATAAATGTGTGCGATGATAATGATATTAGTCGCGGAGAGAATTGTGCATTAATATGGAAAAGAACCTTCGTTGATACTCGTATAATTCATGATCGCCTATGTACCGATCGCAGCACTTCAGGGTCCAACACGTTGGGAGCGGTAACGATGAGACTTTCGTGTCTGAGATCGTCTCGGAAGTGTTCCTTCATCCAAGCGGCGTCCTTGCGGAATATAGAACCCATCGGTATGTACAGCTCGATCTCGTCGATCTCCTCTCTCCAAAGTAACAGTCCGAAGCCACAGACAATATTCAGACACAGGGATATAAGTAGCCAAAGCCATGGCTTTGTGGCTATACTGAATCCGATCCTGAAAAGAGATACATACACACATTTCGAAATGACAGAATAATAAGAATTGAAAAAAATCAAATAAGAAAATCCTACAGGTGAATCATGTAAATTCACTTTACGATCATGATGTATATACATGATCGTGTGTGTGTGCGAGACAAATAATCGATAAGCTAACTGATACTATCCTGAATGAACGAAAACAATGATCTACGAATTAAAAAAAATGAAATCGAAGGTGACACACATTCAGAGAGATAAAAACAGAATCGTTGGTGTGTTTAAAATCTTTGTTATTATATACAATATTATGCAAAATATGAGTAAACTTTAAATTAAAAAAAAAAAAAAAAACATTTATTCAGGGAATTATACTTAGAGATTTATCAATCTAAAATTAAATATAACTTCTCTTTTTATTGAGGCCGTTATTTTGATGGTCACTTGAGATAATCATTAATTAGAGACAAAGTAGATATACACCTCTGCACGCATCAATAAAGCTTCTCCGGCTGATTATTTTGCGCTGTCTTACAAACGTGATCTTTTTCAGACATGCAACTTCCAAGAAACCAAGGAAAATTTAAAGAAGGTACATAACGCGTAATTTTGTTAAAAATTAACAATTTTCTTGTAGTTCTAAAAAAAAAAAAACGAAATAATCAATATCAATAATCATAAGGTAAGAGCAAAAGTCAGGAACTCAAGGAGAAAGAGCTTTTTTCGATGAATTAATTTATTTGGTTTAAAAAAAAGAAGAATTACGAATATGTTAGAGAAAAGAAGAATATGTTAGAGAATACAATATGTTAGAGAATTACAATATGTGTGTGTCAAGAACGGTTGGTAATAACGGATTTGAACGATTATCATTACGTCGTAAAACCATAACGCGATAAATAATTTAAAAGTTCTTTCGTCTCGCGCGCGCGACTAACTATTATAATAGGTGATGTGTGTTTATCTGTGAGCGGATCGGTCTAAGCGGCGAGTCATCATTCATTATTCACGAGTTCCTCCGACGTCGGAGCGAATAATTTGACTTTCAACGTTAAACTGAAATATCGGGCATTGACATTTAACAGCGGGAGAGAAAATAAAGCGCGCGTGTGTGTCGGAGGGAATGAAAAACAGAAGATTTAGAAAGGGCGGTTGAGAAGCTTCGCAGTTTCGCACGTCAAACATTGAGCGCGTTCAGACAACTCAACAGTTGCACAACGGTTGAGAGATAATCACTTCTGATTGGATCATACTTTTGGAACCGTTTCAGATTTTGAAGAATAGTCCTATCATAAGTAATGATCTCTCAACCGTTGAGTTGTCTGAACGCACCCATTGTTCTGTGGTGATCGATTATATACATAATTCTTGTAACGAGACGAAAACGAGACGAAAGTGAGGGTAAATTCACCGGAAATATCTACGACCTCGACGACGTCACAAAAAAACTTAGCGAGTTCGATCGCTTTTGTCATTTTTTTTTTTATTTCGAGTCTCACGATTGACACAATCAACCCTCTGGATGTTGTTCCTGAAAGTGATCCGGAATCGAGCGCACGGGAAACCTTCCCCCTCGTTACGATACGCGCGATGTGAAAACACCGCGTGTATGTGCTCGCTATTGCGTTTCCGGAGGGAGGGAGCTCTCCTATTCGCACACACAGAGATCTACGCACACTCACCGGTAGAATATCCGGTCCGAGTTGAAGTGAAAGTCAAGCAACAACTCCTTGCAGCGCCTCCACGTGACGACAGTTATTCCGGGCTCGTCGTCGATCGTGGTCGTGCTCGTCGTCGTCGTCGTCGTCGTCGTCGTCGTCGTCGTCGTCGTCGTCGTCGTCGTCGTCGTCGGCCGGCCGTCGCTGCTACGCGCCTCCATTTCAGAATGGATGCAACTCAGAATCAGAGCAACGCTCGCGAATATTGACTGGGGCGATCTCGCGGGATGGCTCTACAGCCCCGTTGTGTGTATTGCCTAGCCGACTGACTGACTGGTTCGACTCCGCTCGCTTCAGCAGCAGCGAGCGAGCTGAGCGATCAAGACTAGCGAGCTAACCCGCGGGCGCTCTCGCGATAGAACACGGGGTGTGCGCGTGTAGCATAGTATAGATATATATATATGCATACTCTGGCTCTGACAATACACTGGCCATCGTGTCCGACACTTTGACCGGCGCAGTAGCCGTTTTTTACTCCGTTAACGTAGAACAGTGATAATCTTTTATATCTTTGATTATCAAATTACGAATGTACATACAATCATGTACACACTGTAGTCTCTCATATTATGCCGTACACAAACACACATGTCTGCATCACTTGTCTTTGTTTCTCATGTATGTACGCACAACAAGAAGTTGGCTCAATACATACAGATACGTATTACGTACGTGTGTCAGAATTACGATGAATTACGCGATGTATGATGAACGAACTTCAACTTCGGTTTCGACGTAATCAGTAATATTGTAGTGTGTACGTTGACAATGAAATATGCACTGATAAAATGTGACTAGTAATACACACCTCCGACCGGCAATTTATTGAATTGGTTTCGCGAAGAACAAAAAACAGAAAGTTTTCTTTTTACACGTTGTTCTCTTTCAGTCACTGTGGTCAGTTGCTAACAGGCAGCTAGGTAATAAAAAATACAACGGAAGAGAAGGGGAAGTCTCCTTCCTCCTCCTCGTAAAACTGATTCTTGCCGATACACACACACACACACACAAGCAAGGTGCCATACCATTTCGCGCATACTGCGGAAGAAAGAGAAAAATCACAATCGTTTTGCATGCTCTGTTCCAGCTATTAACTATAAAAAATATATGTTTCGCGTTTTGCCGAAAAGCACGAAACACAATATCCAACGATGTATTCGATTGTAAATTGATTGTCAAACGTCTTATGTGTATTTTAGTTGAAATATATACGTACATATATGAAGTCTTCGCATATTCTTCAATTTGGCAATCGCACGATCAAATGTTTATTTTTAACTACTGCTCCTTTTTGAACTAAATCGAATCTTAGTACAAACGTACCGAACAAGCGCGAGTGCATGTGCACCGCGAATGTGCTATTATTATTTCTTAATGTGAGAAGATTGCGATAGTACTTGTTGATATAGAAGTACTTAATAAATGCAAACTGAATGAGTAAGCGGAAATTGCACAAAGTAGTGTCATAAGAGAATCTGCAAGTGCAAAATCAGATACACATTTTTGCGACTTTTAATATAATTTAACGAGAAAATTTAATGACAAAAAAAATGTTTTCTCGACTTCAACGCGTACGTACGTATTCACGAATCGGTGTAAACATTGAGATATTGATTTCGTAATCATCAAAAAACGTCTACTTTTTATCTTAATCCACAGTTAAGTGGATCATGTAGTATCATGTTTTGCATCTTTGTAGGATACTGATGATAATATACCGATTATACTAACGATAATATTATTCAATCTTAATATCACAAAAAAGAGTGATTATTAAATTTATTTTTAAAAGACGTAAATGTTGTGCAGTTTAATAAAAAAATAATTGGATCAACAAGACCTTAGAAATACCGAGGAGAAGTCCTAATAAATATTCTGACCTCGTATCAAAACAGTATTTCGTTCGATGCATATGCACTTGCACAAGTATCTCGAGTGTGTCGAGTGTTATCGTTCACGAGAATTGTTTACGATATGAAGAGTCACTGTTTTTTTAATATAAATCATTGATGACTCGTTGAACTGCTTTCTGTAATCAACCTAAATACCAGATTGATAACTATATTAGAGAATACAGAAGAATATAGTAGTGGCTGCGCAATAGCTTAAAATAAACTTCGCGAAGTAGATAAATATTAATTGAATTTGTGTTTTATTTTTAACTTGCTCGTATCGCATATGCACATAATGCGTGGATAATTCTAGACAGTCTGTCTCTCGCCACAATGTGTGAAATGTTTAAAAATAAATGATTATTTTAAAGCAACACGCTATATACATGTTTGATAAAATATACAACCGTGTATGTTCGCGCGCAAATATTGTTGTTTAATTGGGGCAACAATTAAAATACTTTAATTTCTTTAATTGCTCTTTAATTTCGTCATTACTTTAATTCCAGAAATTAGTGACCGTAAATTTACAATATAATAATTGAGAGACCGAGATACGTATTTGTTTTTATACATAGGAAGTAAAAGAAAGTGTGTAACACTAACAACAAAACGAGAGACTGTCTGTGTCATCGTTTGCGATCTACTTTTTTTTTTTCGAAATAGCGATCGCTATAGAGCTCACGCGACCCTGGTCAGTTCGTCTCATCGTACTGGTCGCGTTCAAGTCGGAAGCCGCATGACGCTGTTACATAACATCCCGATGCACTTGCGTCGGGCACGCGTGCGAATGTACCGACGCAACCGTGATGATATGCACCGGGAATTAATCACCGGGGTAATACTTTCACGTGAGGTTGAGAATTAAGACGCGTCTTTTGCACAAACGCGCTTCCGCTTTTACTCGAGATATTAAAAATTATTTTTTTTTTTTCAAACAAATAAAAATTTAAGTACACATGCCAGTTTTTGTCACTAGACGCAAACGCGCGTATGTAGAGAAGTGATTTTTATTATAGACGTGCTATGATCCTCAAGAGCTCACTAATAAAAAAACATTAATTGATATTCACGTGATACTATCGTATCGTGCAAAAAACGCACATAATTCACGTGCGATCGTAAAAAGTTTTCTTGCCCTGGATTTATCTCGGAAAAGTACGCACACACTGCTCATTAGAAGAGAAATAAATTCAAGATCGAATGTTCGCGTTTGGCTAAAAAAATGCGTCGTTATCATCAGTCATGTGATAAACACCGTGCAATAAATCTCAAAGCTTAACGCAGCCTTTTTTTTTTTGGTTAAAAAAAACGTATCAAGCTCATAACCGGTCGGCCGCATTTTCGTCTAAATGTAGCGCTGACCAAGCTTGATAATGCGAGTCCACTTGTACGTCCATCAGACGCAACGCTCACACATCGAATGATCACTCCGAGGCGGTTAAACAGTGAGCATCGCGTTCATTAGCATTCCGATGAGAGCAAACTGCAATTTCAACCGTTTTCCGCCTCTTAACGTTACTGAACCGATTTTTCAAATAACGCGATTCTCTATTTACAATACGCGATTAATCTTTCTTATAATACACATACACACTAATCAACGTATAATTTTCACTTTTCGAAATTGAGGTTTTATCTCGAACTTTCTATAATTGGTCGCTTTTATTTTTAAAGATGACTCCTGGCCAAGATGTCCGTTTCGCACAATGGATTTTTTAATTTCCACGAAGAGGTAAAGCGATAGTATTTCACATATACGAGATGCAAATCAAGCATCTTGTATGTGAATTTTTGAATTAAATTTAATTCTCAATAAATTTCCAAGTGTATTAATTTACACGTTTAGAAAAGTAAATAAATATATACAATTAATAAATTATATATATATTATATGTATGTAATTATAAATATATGTTTATAATACGTATGTGTATATTCGGCTCGTATCGACCTTAATACTTACAGTTTATTTCTGAAGATTTAGGTCTTAAGACCATAGAGTCGAATTTCTTACCGTCGCATCTTCGAAAACTAGGCAAATGATCAAAATAATTAAATATTCAGGAGTAAAGCAACCGGTCATCAGAAATTCGATAATAAAATTCTCGAACTTGTCTCCAAAAGTGAAAGCATATATGTGCCAATTAGCAATCCGCTTTCTGAGACCAATTTAATCTGTAGCTTTTTTTTCATTAGAAGACAAGAGAGATAATTTTTTTATCAGTGATGTGTTATCACAATGCACGCTGCAAAAAATTCGCCCGCGTTGCAGTTGCTTATCTAACGTGTGAAAGGAAGTCGCAAAATAGAATTAAGCGCTTAAACAAAGAGAAGAAAGGAGGAGACGGTTTATTTTGCTTGAATTTTCAATTGCAATATTGCAGGAATAGTTTTGTCGCATTCTCAATGTGACTGACAAATTGCTCTGTTCTCCAATATACGCAATACGCTCGAGATTTTCCGCGTGAAGAACATAACAAATACATAATTATACTTTTTTATCTTATTAAGATGAAAAAAGTACGCGATAAAAAAGAAATATCTTATTCTGCGACGAGACGTCGTATTTTTCCACAAACGTGTGTTACCGTCAGAGCGACGGCGATTTGCACTTGTCCCCGTTCGCGGCTTTTATGGAGGCTAAATGAATTGTACGGCCGGCTTGGAGGGGCCGACTTTAGGGGGGTCAAAAAGGCAAATCGAGTGCACGCTCCGCTCGTCCCTAAGTAGGCCTTTAGCCATCAGAGACCGTTATCCGACTCGTCATCTTCAGCAAACAATCCGTCTGCGGACGATTGTCGTCGTGCTGCAGCAATCGTGCGCTTCAAACGCTGCCGTTGACCGGATCTCGCGACACACTGCACTCATCTAATGCTCGCTTCTCAATGTACACATACACTGTACTCGGTACACATCGATTCGAGTGCAAATCGATCAGGAGATGTAAACAACACGTTTATACTCGAGAACTCACGATCGCTAAATCAAGCTTCACAGTTCGAAACAACTGTGAGAATAAAAACTTGGCGCAATTTTTTCGAGCTTCTAAAAAAACGAATTTTAGATCAAATAAAATTTACATTTAGATATATATTAACATAAAATATATTAACATAAAATTTGCAGATGATACATATATGGTTTATTGTTGGCGTTCCTTACTGTTATATTTCGTCTTATAATTTTTTCTTCTCCTGTAACTTTTGCCGAATATGAAAGAGCGTCACCTTGTTGAATGTCATTCCTAGAGACAAAAACTTTCCTCCCACGCGAATCTCCGCGGCATTATATTTGTTTCTCGAATTTCCTCGTTTAGAAATGTCGGCCCGCGACCAGTCGACCTTCGGCAGTTCAGCACGGGATTACCAAATGTTGCCGGGTGACTCGTTGCCGATTTCTTCATTCCAATTTACGGTGCAACCGGTCCTCCTCCGGCAGGTAAGAGAGGAAGAGGCGGACTTGTGAGTGTGGCCTCAAGGAATTCACGAAACGGGCCGGTGAGGGTCGGAGATGCGGCGAAGGTGTCAAGGTAGGGAGTTCACTCCCGGACTCGGAGTGAATGCCTTTCCCAGGTTCGTCTTGGCGTTTCAGTGCTCCTGGTGCCGCACCGACCGATGGGCACCTCACCGTTTTACTCTCGCGCGATCGCGATCAGAAACACGTGAAGGTGCACACGTTCGTTCGGTTGGCGAGCGTCAGATCAAGTTCAAACAGATCGGTGAAGCTGATCGATTGCGCTGATTGCGCGTCGGCTAATCGCACCGTCGTCGATCTGGAAAATCATCAGCGAGGCAAGTTGCAGCATTTTTAGTGTGTTCGAGATTCGAATTACTAAAATGCAGATATGTGCTAACAATAAATTAAATATCTTTGTTTCCTATTTATTATACATTCGCGGATGATTTATTTATGATTACTTATCTTTGGTATTACAGGTATTATTATATACTAGATGTATGTGTGTGTGTGTGTGTATGTGTGTTTGTTTGCAAATACATGTGACGAAGCAAAAACTATTGCTGACGCAATCTGTAATTATGTTTCATAGAAGTTAAATAAATCTCTCTAATAAAGTGCGTTTTTATTCGTTGCTTTAAAGAACGATGTTTTATGACACGCAACAAAGTTTGACGTAAAACGCTCTTAAACAGCTTGTATTCAGGTAATTCCGGTTTGTTTATAGAACATTACTGTTTATGAATGTTAGATTACAGAAATGATTTGAAAATAAATTAGTATAATAGCTCGCAAAAGTGTCATAAAACCGGTTGTTTTACTGGAACGAACTTTAAGGACGAACGCGATGTGATTTACAAGTGCGAGTTGTTTGGGGTCACTCGAAATAAGTGGATGGGTGCACGTGGATCGGATTTCGGTCGACCATTGAATTCCCAATGTATTTAACGGTTTTAGAAAGCGGCAATACAACCAATAGGACAGGGAATCGCGCATGAGTAGCTCTATAAGATATGGTCGAAGCGCACGATCTGGCACCTCAAATCACACTTCCGGTTTCAGACGGTTCGCGCGGAAACGCATTTCTTTTCCCGTCTAGAAAATGTGAGCGCGGAAATCCACACATAGTAGTTACGCAGTTAGTAGAACTGAACGTGAGTTGACGAAAGTTTTTCATTAGCATCGTAACGGCTCGGCTCATTTACCGAATAATTGCGAACTTCGTCGCGAGCGAGCTTTTTTAATTGTCTCAATCTTTGCCTTACGTGCGTACGTAACACGTAGCCTAGGATCTCGGAAGAGCTCGGGTGTTACTACTTGGAAATTCTGCGGTTTAAAAGTTTATTGCATTACCGTTAGCAAACGCTTCGTCGTCGGTATGATAATTTGTGTCCAATTCGCGAAAAAAAAAATGCAATAAAAATACGTCTCGCGCGTATATAAAATTCTAGATCTAAAACCTGAAACCTTGAATATGTTGTTTATGTATTGTAAAAAAAAAAAAAAAAAGAGAACAATTAAAGTAAGAAAGTAAGGCAAATAGTTGAATTGTGTAATTCACTCGCACGTATGCAACACAATACGAGTGTGCAAAAGAAATTTATAAATCTGAGAGAACTAATTGTGCTCTTGCGAGATTCAGAGAAATCGAACGGAGGAGAAAATTGTTGAACTAGAAAAGATGGATATTCATGTAGCTTCCTCAATTAAAATGTTAAGTATTCATATATAGAATGGAAAGGTGAAGAAGCGCACATTGCGCTCTCCTGCAACATGACGCAGCGATTACACGCGCTTTCAAACAAAAATCGCGACAAAAGTAACTTCGGATATCCTTATGATAGACACTCTCTCCTCGAGGTGTGGACACATGGTGGTCTGAAGTGTTCGTCACTCTCTCTTTGAAATGTGGCTTCTCTCTTCCATTTAGGAGCTGCGTGCTTTTTAACGAGCATAAATAATGCTTTCGATGCGTCGAAACCTTGCTCTCCTAACCCAATAATCGCGATTATCATAGAGAAATGTAACTCGCTCCAAGTTTCGAGCGAGTAATGTATTCTTCTAAACTAAATTTTAAATTTAGTTTAGAAATCGCAGCGTTTTACGTTAATATTAATATTTTCTAATTTCACGCCGACGAAAAGATACATTTTACACAAGGAAAGCTCTCGCGATCGAAGAAAACAAGATCTTTAAATCAAGTCAATTAAAACATTGCAAATCATCGGAATAATTTCCGCGCCTTTATCATCGCATCCCAAACCAAAGAAAAGAAAAATTGTAAAGAGAAATTGTGCAAACGCAAAACTATCGACGCAATCTTATACGTTGCCAACATCTGTGTGGTTCTTGCATTTATCTCTTCAATTATCGTCAAATCGAGCCGATAAATAAAATCGTTGCACGCAACAATTAATTGCAAGTGCTTCAACGAAACTGTTTCAAGAAAATTCTTATTCAGTCCCGTTCCACTTACTTATCGTTCTAGCAGAGTGAATAAGAGAGAAGAAGTGTACGAGCATCAAGACAATCCTGATTACGTGCGCAAAGACTGCATCTCTGCGCGCGAACACCTTTCTTCTTTCCGTTACAGCAAAATCCCACGCATTCGTTCCGCTAGAATTAGCAGAGCACAGTTCGGCTATTGTCTCTTACCGCTAAACTTCGCTGAAAAAAGTTGTGTTCGTTGCAGAAACAATTTCTCTTGTAGACAAAATTGAATTCATGTTTATTGCATAAAATAAAACACAATTAAATCAAATTAATTTTTAGTGTTCTACTGTGTGTAGTAAAATGGTTTTTTTTTTTTTTCGAATATGTGATGTGATCTTTTTTTGTTCTTCTCTTTTTAAAAAATCCTTTTTGTATTTCAGAATCATGATCAGACTCGCGTTTCTCGTTCTCGCGATTGATCTGACGATCGGCCAGCTTAACTACGAGGGAAATCCGTTCACGGAATATACCGAGTATATTGCCGAAGAGAGCAATCTCTCCGAAAGATCGGCCAGACAGAATGACCCCTCGCCGATCAATCACTCGAATTCTGAGATATTGTCACCTCCGCGTCCTCAAAAGCTCTATCCGGTTGTAAATTCTGAAAACAGCAAGAATCTTCAAGACAACAACAATCTTCTTTCCGATAAGCTGCAAGAGCAACCTTTCTTTTCGGTTCAAAGTTTTCGACCGGACACCGAAGACACGTCCGCTCGGCAGTTTCAAACTCCGTCCGACCAGAACGCGCCGATCACTCCGGCACGAATCGCGCTTAACACGTTTCTGAATTCCAAAACGCCTGAGGAATCCCGAGCGTCTCTCGATCAGTATCTCCGTAGTCAACAATTGCTGCCGAACGACCAATCGCGGTCGTTGGACGCGAGTAACAGTCAGAATACGAGGTCGATGGAGCAACAGTTCGTCAATCAACAGCAGTCCCAAATTCCGCAAATCTCTCAAATCGGGCAACAGAAATCGCCGATGGCTCCGCAAGAAATGCGGTTAACGTCGCAAGTAGGCCAGAGTCAGCTGGCGTCGCAGCTGATGCCGCATCAGACCGAGCATCAACTGTTGTCAGGTACCGAGCAGGTTTATCAACTTAGCTACGATCAGCAACCGCCTCCTATCCAACCGGTAATCAAAGCGCCTGCCGGAGTGCAGATTGTGAGACAAGGGATGCTGCAACCGGTGCCGTTCATGTCCAGTTTTCAGTCCAGAAATGACTTCATCGCGCCGGCAATGTGGGGAGAGAGGAGAAAGAGGATTCACGGAAAGCCGTTCCCCTTCGCGCAGTCCAGGATAGCGCCTGGATTCTACAAAGGACCGGTTGTAGGTGAGTGTTAGAGCAGGTTTATATAATATGACAAAAGAAGATAACCTTGAATATGAGACCGAACAAGTTTTTCTGAGCTCGGACTATTTCGTAAGAAAAAAAAACACTTTAAAATGTATGAGAGAATTCATAAAAACCGATCACAAACAATTTTGAAAATTTGTATTTAAAAAATTGTAAGAAGATCGTACTCTTATTTGTTATACTTTTTGTTATGTTTTGATATTTTTCATTCTCACGTATAATCATTTATGTGATCACTTTCATACGAAATTAATGTTGTCATCGAAAGTTTGTCTAATTTCATATGATCGACCAGGTGTTTACACATTTAATATATGCTGACAAATTGACTACTACTTTTTCTCTCAAGAAGCATTCGTGACGCATACATTACATGTTTTTCTGTATTTATCAGTTAAATGCTTCGTTGAAAGCATTAACAGAAATTTGCATTACAAAGCAGATACAATATTCATTATGCGATATATACATCATGAAGTTTTGTTCTCATCGGTGAAGGTTAATTTATTTTCGAAACGCTCAGTTCCTTTCAAGCCCAAAGTTCCACCGATGGAAGTGATTTACACAAAGCCGCCAGGCTTTCAAAGAAGACCGCCCGTTATCAGCAATCCGCCCGTGCCCTACGAAGATGCGAGCCCCTGGTTTCCGGACTCGGATCATCCGCCGCCCCACAAGGACGTCTACTATTCGCAGTTGTACGCGCAGTCGTACGATCCTCATTACTACAATTACATCGGCGCGACCGGCAAGATTCGGCCGTATCTCTACGGGAAACTGGGCAAGCATCAGGAGGAGCAGAGCGACGACATCTGGTCGGAGTTGTATCGCGGCTTCAAGAAACACGGTTTGAAGAACATCATGACACCGACCTTTCTGCTGGGCATGACGCTGCCGGTGGTGACTCTGATGCTCTCCGCCCTCGTGCAGAAACGGTCGATCGCGCGATCAGACGAGGCGAGGAATCTGGATCAGGAGAACGCGCTGCAGGAATACCTCGAGAGACTGCAGCGGGCGATGGAGTGCTACGGCAAGAATTCCCGCGACGCGAAACTAGACGGTTGTTAGAATGAACGGTGCGGCTGTAAACTCTTGTTTTTTTTTTGTTTTTTTTTTTTTTATTTAACACTGGAGCCGTTGAATGAAATAATAACTCGATTCATGCAAGGCAGCGCGCGAAAAAGTAGCCAACTCTATTAGTCCGGTTTCGACATCAGTGGCGATGAACAGACACCGTCAGTTATTCGGGCAACGTTACTTAAAATCATTTTGATAAATCAATATAGGTGTAGTGTCACTTATTACATTACGGTAAATAGAACGCTATGAGATTTTTTAATTTAATATTCGACATTATATCAAATATAATATACTAAAATAGGAAATACTTTCTAGCGCACTGCGTTATTTCACTCATCGGCTAAAATGTGGCTGTTTGATGGAGATTTATTTCATAATATTCAATAGGAAGAATATATCCTTTTGTATTAATTTAAAAGAAAATTGGACTGCCACATTTTACGATATATGACTTGGTTGATTATGGATCTATTATTATTTAAAGGCAAAACGCGCGCGCTTTAAGAACAAACGAAACAAATTTAAACGTAAGAGTAACATCATCGGTGCAAAATAAATTAAATTATTTTGAATAAAAACACCGCGCAATCATGTAACGCGTGAAAACAGCAATGCAGTCAGCAAGCTAGTAACTTTAGGCGAAAAAAAAAGGCTTCTAGATAAATATTTTAACTTCCGCATAAACGGCCGTTTCCGGTCATCTTCGTGCGGAAACACGAAAAATAACGTTTTACACACACGGCTTATTACATATGCTGCGCTAACGATCGCAACAGCATGGGTCTAATGATACGCACGCGTTTTCGCAATGTGTTATTAGTGTTACGCAAGACCGACGTCTCTCTCCCGTCTGTTGGAAGTCATTGTTGTTAACGAAAAAAGAACTGCTGCACAAAGAGCATTTCTGTCTTTTTTTTTTCCACAATCTAAATTCAAGAGAATTAAATAAACGAGACGAGAGTCACAGAGACTCATACCGATCTTACCGTATCGAACACATAATGTACATAAAAAAAAAAAATACGCGTACTCTTGTTATATAAATAATATACAAAGATAATATTAAAATATATTTTTGTGTTAAGTTTACAAGCTTATATACTCTGTGCGTATATTCATTTTTTCTTTCACCTTAGCGAACGTTCCCATGTCACTCATCTATATTAAGAAATCGAGCGTGGAAATCTTCCACTTTTGGATAATAAAATTGCGTGAGAAAAACTTTCGCGTCTCAGTCACGTGAGCGTCGCGCAACACGTATATTAGTAAGGAAAGAAAAATTTCATCTCTTTCTGCTCGAGCAACATTATTTAACTCTTTTGTTGAAAAACTTGATAGTACATGTCATGAGAAAACGTAAAAAAGATTGTTGCTTGTTCTTATCCGCTCTTTACGTCATTCAATAATCTCGCAATGAAAAAACAATTTCTAAACAAGAAGACCATAGCTTCAAATTCAAATTTTAATCGCAACCCACGCTTTCTGTTACGCATAAGCTGTCGCTTAATTTACGAACTCATTAATACATGGTCAGACTAATGTAATTGACCTTGACGGGTAAATTGCTAATCTTGCATCTCCCATCGAAATTGTCAGCACGTGTGCATTCCGCTTGCCGCGCGCGATTCTCACCGATATATTTCCGCAACTGATACTTATTGCACGTTATGCGCATCGTACGTTATATTTAAGATAAGTAAAAAAATCAAACGAGTGCAGTTTTGACTTTTAAAAGTCAGAAACTACTAACACCGCGAACTATGCACGAGCTCTTATCAGAAATATGTGCTTTTATCTTTTAGCTGTATACGCAACCATACGTGAATCATATTTAAAAGAATTCAAACATTGTCGCATTTGCAAGTCGGCGACTTTATTAAGTTAAGAACACATTGAAGTAATAAACAACTAATTAAATTAAAAAACCGACTAACTTTTTATCATTAAAACTCGCTTTTTAGTGTGAAACCGTTTAATAAAATGTAAGCCTGTCTTCTTTGCAACTCATTGTCGGAAGAAATTGTTTCCACATTGTTTTTTTTTTTTTTTTTTTTTTTTTTTTTTTTTTTTTTTTTTTTTAATGATAACCTCGTAATTTTTAAATATGTAAATATCACATATTAATCACACAGATAAAAATAATTTTGTTTCACACATCAGTCGCTATCGCGACTTTTGGCAAAAACTTTCGCGTTAACATTCGACAGACCAAATTGGAACGACCTTACTTTATATATCGCGCAAGCCGCCTGAAGAGTTCTCAGATTGATTGCAATCGAATTATTTAATCGAACGTTTGACGGCTCAACTCGAGGGTCATGAGACTCTCAGCCCTGTCGTGTTGCGTGCAGCATGAATAATTACATACTGCAGTCAAGAATTGCCGCAAGCCGATGTGCAAATTGTGCATCATGCGCCGAAGAAAGGCGCCACACGCTCAAAAACAAATAAATAAATAATAAAACAGTTGACCGTATCATATTTTACTAAGTTTAAAACATTTCTGCGTGAACTTTCTCACATTTTCGACTACAAAAAAGGCGGTGAAACGGTGACGAGGCGAAATAAATGAGAAAACTTTGTGCGGATTTATTAAAATAAATTCTAATTTGCTCCGTAAAATTCATTGACGCTACAGATCAAATTTCTACATTTGATATACGTAGGAGACACAGTATATAGTATTGCTATTGCTCTTTATAGAACATGAACTTTCTGTACATGTAATAAATGTCTTTAATATATATATATATATGTATATATATGTACAGTAGTCTCTTTAGCATGGTGTGTGTGTGTGTGTGTGTGTCACTCTCGCATTAACTATTAAGCGTTGTCGATGATAGTTTTTTTTTTTTTTTTCATTGTGATCGTTGCAGTTTCAAACATTGCGCGATATTCGATTGTCGTGAACAGACGATAAGCTGATTTGTCCACGAGATGTACATTTAAACTCTATTTAACTGATCAGTCTTTGTCTCGACGAACATTAAACGCGCTGATGATTCGTATGTGATTGTATCGCTGTGCCGATTATCACGCCGTGTAAGAGCAAGTACAAAATACAGTGTGCGCTTTTATCTTTGTGTCGGTGATTCGTGCGACTTTCATTACGCAGAATATCTCAACACGCACAAATGGCACTTCAAGAACAAGTTTTTCGATGATTTCTTTTTTTTTCTAATCGAATCAAAAAGTTAAATAACTTAAAAACAGTGTCTCTAACAATATTCCCAAAATATTATCTACATATGCGTAACATTTTGTAAACAAAAAGTCATCATTAAAATAATAACTCACACAAAAAATATATAACAATTCACTCTCCTTGTAAAACGTTCTTAATTAAAAAAAAAAATAAAAAACCAGCACCGTGATCTTGTAGAATAAATTTTCTCGCCGACTTCTTCACAAATATAATTCACCTTTATACATTTAGTTCTTCAATAAAAAAAAAAACAATCTTTTTTTTTTAATGAATGAATAGTAAAGGCTCGTGAAATTGTCAAACTAAGAATGAAACAAGGCCGATACGAGCCATTCCAAGGATGTTGTGCAGGAATAAACGTGCATGTATATATATACACATGTATGAAATTCTCATGTAAATTATTTTTACATGTGAGTTTTTTGAATTGAAATTTTTCAATTCTTAAAATCATATAGGATGCTAGATTTGCATCTCATATATTCCTGCACAACATCCTTGGAATGGCTCGTATTGGCCTTGTTTCATTCTTAGTTTGACTTTTTTTTTTAATTTTGATCTTTTGCGTGTATCAAAATCGATAAAATTTTTTTATATAAATTACATTCGAGCAAGCTGTATCTCAAGACTAGATCTGACTATCTTGCGTATACATATATATAAAGTATACATATACTGGGTGTTCAAACTGAAGTGCACCACTTAAATATCTTCCCTCCATTTAAATGGTGCGGAATTTTAAATAAAATAATTCAATCTTATTTTATTAATAAAACACTAAATAGTGAGAGATACGCAGCATTTTCATCACGTAATCTTTGATTTTGATCATCTAAAGCAGGCGTGTCCAACCTTTTGGCTTTTCTTGGCCGCATACACAATACGCAGTCCGTGCTCGAGCACCGCGACAATTGAGTCCAAAAAAAATATTGTTAAAATCACATAATAACGTTAAAAGTTTAGTGATTTTGTAGGGCCGCACTAGTAGCTATCGCGAGCCGCGGATTGGACATGTTCTAAGGGTCATCTGAAGGTCATACTTTAGACATACTCGAATGTATTTGTTCATTTATATAAGATAAAACTACTAAAAGATAGAAAAAATATAAGCTTTTTTAATAAAAAAAGAAAGAAAAAAATTATCCGACAAACAAATTTTTCTTCCATAGTATTCTTGGCATAGTATTGCGCCGGTTTTGTGTCATTAAAAACAAGGAAGATATTTAGGTGATCTGCTTCAGCTTGGATATCCTGTAAGTGTGTACACGTGTATAAGTATTATTCTCATATAGTCTTTTACATAAAGACACATATACCAATATATTAATTGCCGATTTTGAAAATGATTAAATTAAAACATTATTATGCCTATTTATTTATTCACGATCATGTGTACGTGTGTATCGCCATGTACGTTGTAGTACATTAATGCCTAACAGAGAAAAATTCGTAGAAAGAAAAGCCGTTGCTTTCCCGGCAGGCAGTGATACATCGCACTTTATAATCTTGCATTGTTTCTTGACTAACATAAGCGAGACGTCTTTCGACAGAGCACACAGTATAGATAGTGCACTTGGTGTACATAAAATGAATCTCGATTAGTTTACTGTGCAGCTACATGCAGTATTAATTGTCTACACGTGCGTTTATACAAACGTGTAAAATGCGCACGTCGCGTCTACTAAAATTTCCGCGTCAAACTACGATCTACATACACGTAAAACCTTTTTTTAGAGCGCATGCAGAACACCTCGGCCACCGAACTTCAATTGAACAATGAAACTCGCTTCGCTTCATGCCTAAACGCGTACTAAAACTCATGATGTAATACAAAAAATCTTGATGTACGCTCATTACGTTGATAATTATGTACAATATGTAGTAATGGCGATATATATTTTTTTTTTACTTGTTCTATCTACAATATTTATATATTAGTTCGTATTCTGCACACGTGATTTTTCGCGATATTCCTGACCGACAGTAATGAGTCGTAAAAACTTCTTTTCGTCAAATGATGTAATGATATATATTAAATGTGTAAATTAATTCGATGTATTTTCTGTCAAAATTCGAACTTTATTTATGAATTACGTGATATAATGATAATTATCAAAAATAATCTTTATTAGTTTCTATAATTTTTGATGTCCTCACATTTCTGATGTGTCTTGGCATTTAGACATCGTGAACACAACTGAGTTTTAAGTTTATATCATACATTTAAATTGTGGAGTTTTGTAAATATAAATAGTTTTTTTTAAAAACTACTATAAGATAGGAAAATATTTTTGAACTTAAAATACAAGTCAGGAGAAGATACAGACACCGAATTAATTTACACATCTAAACTAATATATATATATATATGATCAGGTCAAAAGAATAAAAAACCTATAAATGTCAAAGGAACCTAACAAATTCAGTATTATGTTTCCGTAATGTATTATAGCCTCTCCTGTTGTTATCTTTGTCTTTCAAACACTATCTAACGCTGATTAACGCTTTTTCTTTTTAAATAAAAATTGCTCGCTATAATACTTACATATTTCTTTCTTTCAATCCATCTCCTGACGATGTCAAGCGAGTGTGAACACCTCAAGGCTAGAAATATCTACTACACGCTAACTTCATTCGAACTTCTCTTCCTTAAACGCAAGATTAATCGCCTGTCCGACGTCCTTTACGACAAACGCCGGCTTGCACAAACTATCCTCGACCGGCAAGAAATCTCTGGGACTGTGATCGGGAATGAATTTAGTACCAGGCTGGTGCACTCCGGTCTCGACTAAAATACTAATGCAAGCTTTGGTGCGAGGACTCGTTATGTTCTGTCCGAGAAGCTTCTCCAGGCTGCGAGATTTTGTGCCTTCTCCGGATTCGTAACGAGATAAATACTTGTCGTACAAATTTGCACCAAAGATGTCGGTATTGATGTTATCGCTGTAAAAAGTATACAAGAGAAAACAATTTTTCTTTTAGAATATTAAGATTAGATTGTTTCAAGTATTAGATAATTTAGGAAGTGTTTTTTGTACAATACTTACCCGATAGCATAAATTGTATCAACATTCTCAATACCTATGCTTTTAGCGTGATTCACAAGCATACGATTCGCGTGGTAATATGTAATCTCACTAGGTTTTCCGACTAGAGCAGCATATGTCATGTCCTTGCCAGTGACCTTCTTATACAGGTTTTCGAGACACAACAGAAAAGCACCGTGCCCGTACCGCGGGATTGGCGCCTCCGACACCCATAGTAAATCCATATTGCACGCCAACACTGGAATGTGCGGATAAGGAACAGTAGTGGGCAGCCCGGTGGGCATCCCGTTGGTAATTAGCAGGTCTACCATTAGCTGCAACGACGTTTCCCAAATAATCGGCTCGCTCAGGAGCACGATACCCTCGATTCGTGGAAAGTCCGGATTGACTGGACCACAGATCGGATTTCTTTTCTTCATGTTCACATAGTCCAAGCACGGATAGTTTTTCACCAATTCTTCTATCGTCGTTGTCTTCTTGAAACCCAGCTCTCGAGCTATTTCCGTGATCGGACCCTGACCGGAAATCAGGACCTGTTTATCGTGGAGGTAATCGAACATTTGTAATGGTGAATGCGCCAAAACAACTTGCGACTCTGTAACTTCACAGCCTATCCATTTTGACAGATCCGCCGCTTTTTGGCTGCGCAACGAGTTCCCACTGTTTGTGACAAATAAAGTGGGAACGCGGAATTTGCCATTGTCTTCCCGAAGCCGTTTGAAAGATTCTTTCACCGGTGATAACACCTGCTTCCCGCGCACAATAACACCGTCGATGTCGAATAGCAGACCGAACGTTGGTTTTGTGCATAAAGGCTGCAAAAAGTAAATATATTGGATGAGCACAAGTTTTGGTGGATTTCATGATAGAAAAATATAGACCAAATAATTTTATTTAAAATCAATTTTATCATTTTACCAAGTAATCCCATTGTTTATCTATTATATTTCAAAATCGTACTTGGTAGAATAAATTTTTAATAAAGTTAATTGATCTAGTTTTTTATCACAAAATCCATCATATTTTTTGCATTTAATCATGTGTGCGTTACTTACAAAGCAAAAAACTTTATATTCAAGTAATTTTTATAATAATATGTATAAAAATTATTTGAATAGTTTTATACATATTGTATTTTTATATATTATATAAAAAATTGTATGTTATATAAAATTAAAATTATATTACAAAAATTATATATATTATAAAGACAAAAATATTTTTTGTAATACAAATACCAATCACTAATCGAAGTAACATTTTATTACACATCGTTGCTAAAATTCGCAATTTTAAATTATCTTCAAGAGAGAAATAATTATGTCATTAAAACTTGAATCCATTCACATATCGATAAAGTATCTATCAATATGTTGATAAGCGAAATAATATTAACACTGATCTTCGAACTTACATATAAAAAAAAAAAAAATAAACCACAAAAAATACCCTACAATAAAATATGTTACATTTTTATCAGACTCTGTATATATTGCATACATATAACTAAAAATAATATATCGCGCAACAAATAATAAGCAGTTATGAAACCTTCAGAGTATTATGTAAATACGAACAATAATAACGCACGGTTGATGACAGATGTGCGCGATCGAACATTCGAACGTTCGAAATTTAGAATGAATGAGAAAGAGAAAGAACAAACGTCAGTCCTAAACAAAAGAAAAGAATTTGCGATAGATCGAAAACATCAAAAAATCGCGATGACAGGCAAATTTAAAAAGGGAAGAACGCACAAGTAGCGGGGAACTCACTCTCACTCCGCTGAGCCTCACGACGTCCAGTCGCAGCAGGATATTGGTAATAGCCATCCCTTTTTTAAATAGGTAAACACGGAACGGGAACATCAATGCGGTTCTCAAAATGCTCAGAAAATGCTGCCTATTATCGCTCGAATACGCATAATGAGGCGCTTTGAGGTTATATTGACCTCGATGCACATTTCACCCGTTCACCCGTGCTGCCTGCACGTTACCGTAAGAGGACGCGCAAAGTCACGAGACAAAAAGGACAGAGATCCGGTTCATGCGTAGTAAAGCGGGAGTCAGCTGATCAACATTAGGCGTTTACTTTTGACGCGTTCTGAGAGTATCGCTCCTGTAATCTATTTTTTTTTAGCGGTGTAAACGCTCGCGAACCGCGCACGCAATAATGTTATCGTGATGTTATCGCACTTATAAACGATTGTTCTATCTAAGATAGTGCTCAGAGCAAGTAAAAGCGTGAGTGCAACGTTCAAAATAAACGCATCTCAAAAAATCAATGGACTATAGATGGACATTGATGACATTTTGGAGTAAACAAGAGTACGCGGTAAGGTTGTAAATTTTAGTCATCTAGTCGCCGATCGATAAATTTCAAAATGTTCATCAAACCGTTCACGGTCAAAGCTGAACATCGAATGAAAACAACTGAAAGGTTTGTGGAAAATATTTTTGAATAATTGAAATATTTAAATATATGTTCTGTCACAAATTATATGAATATTTCTGAAGTGATAAAGTGAATAAAAATAAGAGAAAGAAGATCTAGCAGATGTTTTACATGTACATATTATTATAATGCTTTTTGTTTTTATTACCTTTAGAAAAAAATTTTTGGAGAGAATATTAGATGCATATCCTCATTTGTCGCTTGAACAAGTTCAATCAATATTTCCTAAGAAGGAAATCATCAGTATTTCCAAGATAGTGACCAATAACAAAGAGAGGGGAAAAATATATACCAGGACTATACAAGGCGACGAACAGTACATGGTGCCCTATTTCTTTGAACTGGACTCGTATGGCGAAAAGTTATTTCCCTCAGTTTATGCGATGTGGGATTTCCCATATTTCCTGTACAGCTTCATCGTAAATCAGGGAGTCGTGTCGAAATTGGAAAACGGTGCTGATTTGATGTTACCTGGATTGATTGTAAAAAAGCCTGTGACTCTGCACAGCTATGGTAAATTTAAAAAAGGCGATGCAGTGGCGATCAACACCGAGGACAATAAGGTTTGGAACTTTGTTTTATCGATTTGTTCGAAAATAGATTTTGTGGATGAGAGAAAGAAAGTGTTACCCTGCAGGCTACAGTCGCTATTGGTGTCACCATACTTTCTAGTGAGGACATGTATTTATCTGGCGGACACGGGAAGTGCATAAAGATCTTGCATGTGTACGGCGATAAGCTTTGCAATCAAGTCTGGTCGATTCCCCCGAGACCTGCTCAGGGGATGCCAGATCTCAATGATCTTTCGGATATGTGGAACACTATAGATACAACAGATAAAAAAAATAGCGACGAGAATGAAAGTGAAATACTACGATCTAAATTAGATGAGCTGGATATAGACAAGACATCGAGTGACACAGTTCCCAATGATGAAAGCATTTCTGACGACACTACCATTTGCAAGGTAGATTATCTCTCGGAGTTATGCATCTGTATTTATCTACAAACTGAATCGCGCGATTATTTTTGTTATACTTTATAGGAAGAGGAGGAAGAAACAGAAGAGAAACTGGATGAAAAAGCAGAAGTAGAACAGGAAGTGAATGATCCAGTGCAAGAGATGAATGAATTGCTGGAATATTGTTTCTTGAAAGCGTGCAAAACTATGATAAAACGTGCCGATCTGCCAATGTGCATGTCCAACTTTCACAGAAATTATCTATTAGCCGCCTGTCCCGCGGACAGAACTGTCGATGTAAAAAAGTCACAGTATAAAAAACTGTCGGTGTTTTTAGAAAAAATGAAGACTAAAGGAATAATCGATACAACTAAAACGCAAGGTGTAGAAGTTTTGACATCAATCAAGGTAATAATACTTCCTTTGGGTATTTTTAAATAAATAACGTTTTTTTTTTTTTTACGTCTTTAAAAATGAAATCGTTGATTATGTAATAACGTGCAATCAAGTATATTATTTTTACTCGTTCCAGTTTGATCATCCACTTTTGCAAGATTTAGTCATTAATGAACAACCGATAAAAACCGAAAGCTCGGCGATTTCTCAGAACGTCGTCGTAACGGAATGCTATAAAGTAACTTTCGATGTTCTGCCAGTTTTATCCAAATTCGGCTACGAGTAAGTGAACACAACTTATTTTGGTGTGTGTTGTTACAAATATATAATTTTACCAAAACAATTTTATATAGTATCAATGTATACGCGTGGTAACAATTGTAGAAAAGGCGACGTGATGAAGAGAGCTGAAGTCAGGAAGTGCTTTATCGATTACGTGAAATCGGAAGATCTGCAGAATGGAAAGTAAGACGATGAAGACACGTAAGTATTTACGTGTGTACGCGTTATTAAACCGCATTGCTTTTGCAGAATGTTAAAATTGAATCCTCAACTGGCGGGAATAATGCGAACCAAAGCGGATCAAGAAAAGGTGACGATGGAGGATGGGATAAACAAGTTCATCGGACGCATGACGCACATGCACGAGGTCGCTCTTAACGGAAACGTTTTGATGCACACGGGAAAATTGCAACCGATCGAAATGACCGTTACGGTGCGGTCGGGCACGAAAAAAGTGAGGAAGGCAATTCAAGAACGAGAATAGTATCGGATGAAAATGCGGTTTCGCTCTTCTGACGTCATTGCGAACATTTCAGGTGACGTTGGTGCGCAATCTGGAAGTGTTCGGAATTAATCTGAAGGAGTTCAGTAAAGAGTGTCAGAAGATTGGTGCGAGCGCGACGATCGTCAACGAACCCGGTCAAAAGGTTCCCAGTGTTCTTGTTCAAGGGAACCAAGTCTTACACGTGCACAAATTACTCACAGGTGAGATACGGTTTGATGTCAACTCTCAATACTGTGTAGTTTTTCTTTTTTTACGGACGAAATATGACGTCTTTGGTTGATTGTTATTGCAGAGAAGTACCAAATCAAAAAGAACCTCATAAAAGGTCTGGAGTTGGCTCCGAAGAAGAAAAAGTAAACTGTTGCGCGGAAAAAAAACAAAACAAAAATAAATAAATAAATAAATAAACTTTCTTTTCTGAGTTGTATGGAGAAATCCTGAAATGTACATAAGAATGCGACAAATGTGACGATTGTGTATTTAATTTTGACAGAATAGCGCTGAGTTGCGAAAATTACACACAGAAGATCGCTGCCATTATTATAATATATTCGAAACGTTTTCGAAAAACCTTTTCTAACATGTACATGTTAAAGCGATTGGGGAGACTCGAACGATCTATCTACTGAGGACACGTTATATATAACTAATTGTGAAATAAAAGAAATTTATGAGAATTACCTGTTTTCTTCATTTGCATTTTTTTGGCCCTTTGTATCGAGTTTTGTCGCACTTCTTACAGATCGTGAAACACACATCGCATTTTCAAAACCAAAGAAATAAAACACAGATCGATGCGTAAAGAGAACAGGTAAGACGTTTTTTTTTTTTTTTT